GAATACCTGTGAGTTCTGCCATGATTTACAAATAATGTCCCGTATGGTTCCCCATACATCCGATGTCGCCAGCGAGAGAAAGTTGAATTTCACGATTCTCGTCTCTCAAGACGCTTTCTGTCATGTTTCACACACACCACGTGAAAGTCCATTCACTCGGCGCGGCGCAGTGCACTTTATATTGTCCAAAAAGTGGGTTGTCGTCCAGTCCTAACGAATGCGTGTGGCTTCGCTTTTTCTGACACCATGTTAAGCTTGGTCCTTGGTCAAAAAGATGACGTGAATGTCTATTAAACTTATATAACAGCGCCTTGTTTGCGTATGTTAAAGAATACAAACGGCTGTGGGTTGTGAGGCCGATACGTTTATTGCTGGTCTATTTAATATACAGCCTGAAAGAACATATAAGAAAGTATATTAAATGGAATCACATAAATATGTACACGTTCAAATCACTCATAAGTCTATAAGATACACCTAGTTAAATACATCTGAACTATGTCACAAGTTATAATGTTACATAATATTAATACAAATATACAACGATCATAAAGACATACTGTAGGTATCTTTAGGAAATATTATAGTAAATACATTTCTGGTATATATGGAATCTGGTCAGGTATTGCATACCAGGTTGGTTGTACCCAAGCTGATCATAATGGAGGATATTCTTCTGAATGATCACACTCACAGATCTGCAGAGAACAATATATATACAAGTGATATGATATAAAATAATGTTTAAAAGTAAAATTGCATTCGCCACACAAATAAAACATAAAATGACATGTAATATTACATATATGTGTCAATTAATCACACATTAAAACATACGGGCATGCATTTAATTAAAGGTCACATGCAACCAAAAAATCAAACATAATTAAAACACAATTATCACTTCTTCATGACATATAATATGCATTGCTGATTATGAAAAAACAAATAAACAAAATTATAAGCGTATAATCGCAAATCAAAAGTGCAATATTTTGTACTTGGGTTTACCTCCCTCGAAACGAAGCAGCCGGATACCGAACCCAGTCAGAGCGGGTGGGTGTGCACTCAAGTGTAACGGCTGGTTCATTAGCAGATGCCGCCTTCACGGCTCATTGTGTGTGTATATAGAGAGATGTTGGGTTTTGTAAATACATGCTCATTTTTTGTGTATAACATTTTGCAATCAACAGACATCAGAACATGTCATGTGTTCAAGTATCACACCTGCCTGTCTGTGTAATTACATAATGTGACAGAGACCGAACTCGGGCCATAAATCAATGCGTTTGTTTATGGTGTATAGCCTGATTGGTGTTAAGTTCAAACTGCATGTGGTCAGTGATCGCAGTTGTGTATTGAATATTGTTGTCATTAGCAGACAGGCAGGCAGACACACAGGTGTCAATAAAACAAGACATTGAGTTTTGCGAAGCTGACCGGAACATCGCCATCGACAGCGACATATCAGCCTGGCACGTGTTCGATGGTGCAGGAACGTCCAGAGATGGAATTGGAGACATTGGCAGCGAATTTGGTTCAGCGACGAATCTCGTTTCCAACTTCAAAGACACGATGGTAGGACGAGGGTCTATAGACGGAGAAACGAACGTTACGCCCGTAATTGTGTAGTTGAAGCGGACAGATTTGGAGGGGAGAAGTGTGATGGTATGGGGGGCCATTTCTTACAACGGGAGAAGTGACTTGGTGCACGTCCGTGGTAACCTGACTGCAATTCGTTACAGGGATGAAATTCTGCAACGTCATCTTTTACCTGTCATCAACCCTCAACGTCACGTTTTCCAACAGGACAACGCCAGACCGCACGTGGCTCGCATCACGATGGACTACCTGATGAATCAGAACATCACAGTTCTTCCCTGGCCTTCAAAATCCCCGATTTGAACCCAATAGAGCATTTGTGGGACCAGCTTGGGAAACGCGTTCGACGTCGTCAGCCTCAACCCCAAAACCTGTGCGTTTCTTTTTTGCAGAGTATATCTATATCACAGTTAGAAATTGTGTCAACGCTAAATAATGACATTGCTTTTAAGTATCGAACTGAGAAAGTGACTCGGTAAGAAGAACGTGTGGTGAAATAGACAAATGAAATTATATAAACAGTTTATTTACTGTCATAACATATAAAAAGCTCGCGCCTGTGAGATATCAACAAAACATTATGAAAATAGCTCACACCAAAGCCTTCACCGAGTATTCACCAGACAGCCCGCTTCCAAGTTGCGCGAACCTATTTCACTGTGCACGTGCTATGAGCGCAGCCAAGCTGTTGAAACCCGTATTCCCCAGAAAAGTCTGGGGAAAATTAGTGAAACGTTTGAACTCCGATTTCGCGCGTTTTTTCATCGCGTTATTTTTCAACTTTATAAGTTGAATTTGCATTTTTGACGCTTTGTTTCGGTAAGTCCATACCGAAAGGTATCAGAATCTGCAAAGTTGTGTTTTACGTTGCATGTGACCTTTAAGCGGACTAGTAATTACTTTTATAAGTTGTCTGATATTTAGTTGATATACGTTTAGGATTGCGTTCAATACATAAACAATCCATATACTCACAATAACACAGTGATCTGATAGTTTATCTTCAACTATACATATTTATATTATATTTCAAGTAAACCAAGTCTGACTTACATGCCACAATACATTATATTTCTAATTATAGTAAACAAGAAACTGTCTAAATATACAACGCTTTATACAATATTAACCATACAAAATTCCCGTGACTCTGGCTATATCTCTCCTTCAACAGTACAAGACGGCATCTGAGTTTAAAATCTGAACATTGTAGTTAAGCTGTGGCCAGCTTGGCCTATCAGTAAAACAATAGAAATGACTGAGAGTTGGAGCACAGGGTGTTGAAAGCATGCAGTGTGACAATTAGTGGAGGTTAGACTGACAGTTACAAGGCTTACTATGCAGAGCTATGGACTAAGAGTAAAATAAAGTATAAAACATAACTAAGATTCTTACAGGTGTTCCTATTGTTTAATAGAGTAAGTCATTAAATGGAAACAATGCCATCCACCTTGATACTTAATATAATCTTCCAAACTTTAACTAGAACTATGTACATATATATATATATATATATATATACTCTCCCCAAAAAGAGACGCATCGTGAAAATAGCAATTTCATGTAGCAATGAATTAAAACGTGATTCATTTTACAAAAGGTTTTGCTCTGTTTATGAGTCCTATGGTGTTTATGTTTCGAAAAATCATAACAAAACGCACCATCCGTAAAATACCCGTATTTAACAGCATGATTTTCAATTTCGGCGTGTAGTGTCACAGAATACACAATTCACATGCAATGCACGTGAAAGTTGGGGATCAGATAGTCTCAATGATGGGTATAAAAGGTTGATCGCTGTCTGTCGATTATTCACTGTATTTGGAATATTGTTGACGAACGCAAAATGCCACGTCTAAGTGAAGCCAACCGTCATATCGCCATTGGTTTGCTTGAAGCTGGCCAGTCTCAACGTGCAGTTGCCCGACGCATGAATGTTCACCAAAGCACCATTTCACGGCTCTGGGAGAGATATCGCCGGTAGAATGCGATAGCAGATGCCCCTCGTAGTGGGCGACCTCGAGCGACCACTGCGGCGCAGGATCGCTACATCCGGGTACATCACCTGCGTCATCGAACAGCTACGGCGACCAGTGCCGCTCGACAAATACCCGGATTGAGGAGGCTTTCTGCACAGACCGTCAGGAACAGGTAGAGAGAGGCTGGTTTACGAGCCAGAAGACCTTATTTTGGCCCTGTTCTTCGACAACAACATCGTCGACATCGAGTTCAATGGTGCACCAACGTTCAGGCCAGGAACCTACCGAATTGGCGTAGAATCTGGGTCAGTGATGAATCACGATTTCTATTGGAACGACGCGATGGAAGAATGCGGGTGTACAGACGTCGACGTGAACGTTTCGCCGACGCTTGCGTTCCCCAGGTGGACAGATTCGGCCGGGACAATGTTATGATGTGGGGAGCAATCACCTGCCGTAGGAGAAGTGATTTTGTGATGATCCAGGGCAACCTGACAGCTCAACGGTACTGTGACGAAATCCTACGCCCACACCTCCTTCCAATCATTGATCGCCAAAGGGAGTTATTTCAATAGGACAATGCCAGACCCCACACATCACGTCACAACATCAATGTGCTCCCCTGGCCCTCAAGATCACCGGACTTAAACCCGATCGAACATCTGTGGGATGCCCTGGACAGACGGGTGCGACGCCGTAACCCTCAGCCCCAGACACTTCAGCAACTCGCACAGGCACTACAGGCAGAGTGGGCTGCGATTGGGCAACACGAGATTCTGAGACTTATTCGTTCGATGCCGAGGCGATGCCATGCAGTTCTGGATGCCCACGGTGGTCACACGAGGTATTGACTTCAGCGCCACCAGACGTCTCCATGTGACACTCAAATTGACTTTTCTCGAGTTGGCGCCAAAGACGGATAAGTCCACATTCCCAGTGTGCAATTTCGCTATATTTCATTGACTCATAAAGCCTACAAGTTGTTTCAAAATAAACATAAAAATACAGTTGAAATTCCTATATGCGTTTCTTTTATGGGAGAATATATATATATTTGAGTCTGCCTCACTTAAAAGTTTAATCTTCAAGTTCAAGTTACATTCGCCATGTCTTGGTGCACTGTTTACCAAGGGAGACAACTCCCAGTTCACTGAAAGTATTACCGTGAACTGAACGAAACGAAATTCAATCACGTAATGTGACACTGTTGGTGTACAGAACGCTTAGGCGTTGCTCGCCAGCATTGCTTCGATCAGGTTTACTGGCAATGTACGACAGCTAGTTATATTTTACGTACGCTTCTAACAATATTTTCAGGCGTGTCACAAGGTAGATAACTCTCCCAATTTAGGTGATCGCTTGAACAATCCCGCCGTCAGGTGAGAATTTCAGGTATTTGTATTTGCGCATGCGCGATGACTCAGGTAAGAGGAAGCTACTGCATGACGGTTAAAAGTTAATAACAAACGGCGGATATCGAAATTGTCGGTTCAAGAAGTTTGTGACCATTTCTCATGACCTAACACCTGCAATCAGCTATGAAGGAGAAGGATCTTGATAAAGATACCATTGTAGCGTACCACGCGTACCTACAGACGCGCATCCACAACGAGCTGAATGGCGTGGGACTGGGCCCAGGATCGCTTCCGTGTCGTATGGGACTGATCTGCATCGCCTTCTCTCTGGCGTCCCTCGTCACGGGTGTACTGGTCATCACTCTGAGACACAGACATGTCTACCTGGTGGACTGGTGGCACGCTTTCATCGGACCATTCTTCATCATTCTGTCACTGATACTGATCACGCTAGCTACCTACCTGATCATCACAGCCAAGAGACGCAGCAATCAGTACAGACGAGAACTGTTTGTAAGTACCACACCTTTACAGGTAGATACGCAGGTATACAGGTGTTTCTGTTTACTTTCCACATCTCTGCTGCACCACCAACGTCGTCTCAAACAAACTGTGTCACTGAGTAATCATGGACCTTAAATGGCTCAATCCAGTTATTTTAAAATCTGTCTTCCCATTTCCTGTTTAGTGTTTACAAACACCTGGCTGAACTGACTGTAAGTTTAGTTCCTTCATGCTTACAGTATATGTTACGGCTCATGTTTCAAATGCTTATAATGACTACTGCAGTTTACTTGAAAATAACTATAGTACAAATTCTTTAGGGCTACAAATTAGGGACCTTAAATTAGACAGCTAAACACATGGTACAACTAACAAAAAATAAAGGTAAATGGGTCGGCTGTAACATTGTACATGCTGATCTCAAAGTGGGTACATGATTGTAGCATGAGTCCAAAGGCTAATGTGTTTTGATAACATACCCTAAAACTATTTTTCAAATTTGATTGATATATTTTCTTGCTAATGTGTACATGTCAAGAACTGCAGATGCTTCACAAGTTTAATTTCCAGTGTTTTACACAATGCAAAATATGTACACAGAAAACCCACAATACAGCATCAGGAGTTGTCCATAAACGTGTGTGCTTCATCATTTACTCACTAACTTCTAGAATGCAGATCAAACAATTTCTAGTTATGTTTTTTTCATCCATCAGCATGATCACTGTCCACATGATCACTGTCCACATGATCACCAATTCATTCCAGGCTTGGAAGTCATTATCTGAACATACTCTGCACTACACCATTTTAATACTTTACCTCATATTACCAGCAAGGGCCTGAAAAATTGATTGATGTGGGTTGCCCTGTACCACCACTTTGTATGTCAGGGTAAAACCCTGCACCACCAGGTGGTACAATCAGTTCTGTAATGCATGCACAAATACAACATCCGGGAGCCAGCAAGTGTATTATTTGTAAAATGTACTTCAATAAAGACTTGACCAACTGAGCATGTTTCTTTAGGGTGTGGGGCGGTGGGGTAGCCTAATGGTTGAAGCGTTGGCTTGTCACGCCGAAGACCCAGGTTCGAATCCCCACATAGGCACAATGTGTGAAGCCCATTTCTGGTGTCCCCCGTCGTGATGTTGCTGGAATATTGCTAAAAGCGGCGTAAAACCACACTCAGTCAGTCAGTTGTTAGGGTGTTTTAAATGTATGACTCTAAGAAAGCCAGTTCCACGTCAAAAGACAGAAGAGTAGACATGCTAGCAGTAAATGTTTCCTGTTCTGTAAATGTCATGTGAGGATGTTGAAACCAGTGATGGGCACAGAGGTAGCATATCCCGGCCTTGGTTTATGTTTTAGTACATCGTGATCTTTGAACTGTCGCTGAGCTGCACAAAGCAGGGAGAACTCCATCCTCGATAATCTCCACTATACCCTGGATGCATCCACGGCTTGGCCCGATGATTTTATTACCTCCCTTGGCTGGCTTTTTATCCAATCAGGTGTCTACACTGGGAAGTTGAGCGAACCAATCACAACTCACTTTCACTTCTTAAATTATTCTAACCATTTAAACTTGGCAACACAATTGATGCAGAGGTACTCTGAAAGAGGTAGAAGGAGTTCTTTGAAATATTTTTTTAAAGTTTCAGATCTGTCAATTTGTCTGTATTCTTTTCTCAAAAATCTGAGTGGAACTGCGAAGAAACCACTGCGACTGCTATCTTTGTTGACAGTGGCAAGCGCGGATGTAAGGGCGGCTTAGCTGATTGGCTACTGTGAGAATGTGGAGCCATCAAAGGGAGGTAATATAATTGTCGGGCCAAGCCGTGGGTGCACCCAGGGTATAGTGGAGAGTGATCGTAACGTATACCCTGGAGATTATCGAGGATGGGAGAACTCATTCCAATTGCTTTACACTTCGTGTCTGTTTCAGTTCCGTCCAATCGGGGACTATGGCGTGGCAGTTGTACACAAGAGCACGTTGATCCATGAACAGGAGCACAGGTAGGACTCAGTCTGCATCTGAATGGAGATCTGTGTAGTGTTTAGTGAGTGACTGGATCTGAATGGAGATCTGTGTAGTGTTTAGTGAGTGACTCTGGATCTGAATGGAGATCTGTGTAGTGTTTAGTGAGTGACTCTAGATCTGAATTGAGATGTTTGCATAATCAAGCTCCTTTATATCTCTCTGAACTTCTCACTGTCTACTCCCTTACCAGAACTCTCAGATCTCAAGGCCAATGTCTTCTCTCCATTCCCAAAGTTCTCCTTTCTTCCTTTAGCAAGAGGTATTTCCAGTACGCTGGTCCTACTCTGTGGAATTCTCTCCCTCTCCACATAAAGCAGTCTCCCACATTGGAAACTTTCAAAATTAAGTTGAAGACTTTCTTTTTTTCCAAAGCCTATCCCTAAAATCAATCTTTCTGTCATCAATTTCAATGTATACTTATTTTACTATTTTATCCTCTGTATGCATTGTATGTATGCTTTTATGTAGCGCCTTGAGCATGTATCAGTGGGTGGAAAAGGGCACGCTAAAAATATCCATTATTATTATTATTATCTGTGTAGTGTTTAGTGAGTGACTCTAGATCTGAATGGAGATCTGTGTAGTGTTTAGTGGGTGACTCTGGATCTGAATGGAGATCTGTGTAGTGTTTAATGGGTGACTCTAGATCTGAATGGAGATCTGTGTAGTGTTTAGTGAGTGACTCTGGCTCTGAATGGAGATCTGTGTAGTGTTTAGTGGGTGACTCTAGATCTGAATGGAGATCTGTGTAGTGTTTAGTGGGTGACTCTAGATCTGAATGGAGATCTGTGTAGTGTTTAGTGAGTGACTCTGCATCTGAATGGAGATCTGTGTAGTGTTTAGTGGGTGACTCTAGATCTGAATGGAGATCTGTGTAGTGTTTAGTGGGTGACTCTAGATCTGAATGGAGATCTGTGTAGTGTTTAGTGGGTGACTCTAGATCTGAATGGAGATCTGTGTAGTGTTTAGTGGGTGACTCTGCATCTGAATGGAGATATGTGTAGTGTTTAGTGGGTGACTCTAGATCTGAATGGAGATCTGTGTAGTGTTTAGTGGGTGACTCTGCATCTGAATGGAGATCTGTGTAGTGTTTAGTGGGTGACTCTAGATCTGAATGGAGATCTGTGTAGTGTTTAGTGGGTGATCACTATGAAACCAACACCTGGGTGTTTCATTGGCAGCTAAATAGTGAATGACAATCAAGGTGTATAACTTGAGATCTCCAGGGGAATGTACCCATATGTTGGTGTTTACCACACTGTGAGCATTGAAGACAGTGCATGTCACAGTGACTGTGTCATGTTGTACCTCACAGCAAGTGATTACTTGTCATTTGGTCTGTGTACATATCATTTGGCTTATGTGTTTGAATTAATTGTGTCTTGTCCACTGATAGACTACTCTTTCCTGATTGGCCGGTATTAGAATGGGTGGTATTTGCATTGCAATATTACACTGAAGAGTGTTTTAATATGATTGTATCTACAATATTTTTCATGATAAATAAGCAGTCAATTGAAGGGTAGACTACATAAAGATGCTCATGAATGAACTCCACATGAAGAGTGTACTGCATAATTCAACAAACAAACAATTTGTCCACTACTCAGCTGCTTTAGTTTGATTGTAACCATGGTAACATTATTACTGCCTTTGTTCAGGTCGGACCTCAAGACTGGCACCACACCACACAGAAAAGTCCTGCCCAGTTCTGATGCCTTTTCTTCGCGCTCGGTAAGTGAGCAACTGGGCTGGGTGGGTATAAGCTGCAATCAGTCAAAGTGCCTTAAAGCCAGGTGTTACAGGTATAGAGCCATGTGTTCCTGGTATAGAACCAGGTGTTCCTTGTATAGAGCTTGATCTTCATGGTGTAGAGCCACGTGTTCCTTGTATAGAGCCATGTGTTCTTCTATAGAGCTAGATGGTGTCGAGCCCTCTGCATGGTATAGAGGCCTGATCATGGCAATTGGAGCCCTGTGAGTGCCTCAAAGCCAGGTGTTCCAGGTATAGAGCTAGATGTTCGTGGTATAGAGCCATGTGTTCTTCTATAGAGCCATGTGTTTTTCTATAGAGCTAGATGTTCATGGTATAGAGCCATGTGTTCCTGGTATAGAGCCTTGTGTTCCTTGTATAGAGCCAAATGTTCCTGTGTAGAGCCATGTGTTCCTGGTGTAGAGTCCTGTGTATTGTTCTTATCTGTTCGAACAGCGGGACCGCAAGAAGGGCCATGAGAACCGAGGCTACAGTCACAATGGTCAGGAGGATCGTCATCAGAGGGATGGCCGAGACAGACGCCATGATGATGACAGAAGACGCCATGATGACCGCCACAGAGACAGGGACCGTGATGACAGAAGACGCCATGATGACCGTGAGAGGAGGCGACCCCCAGATGACAGGTGAATTTTGGAGGCTTCAAGCAGTATTTGCTCACTTGGTCATTCAACTTGACATACAGATACTCCCAGGATCTTTCCACCATTGGTGCATATGTCTCAAAATGTGAATAAAGTCTTAAATTTTATGACCTTTAACTTTACTGAGATCTGATCTTTCAAGTTGATGTATCCTTATGTCTTGAGTTAACAAGCTCTCCATGAGAACAGGGGAACTTTATGATGAGTCATGTGGATTAAGGACAATCTTAATTCTCAATGTTGGTGACAAACACAGAAGGTCACTTTACAGTGAGTTGGACACTGGTGCTATTGGTGTATCCTTGCCACCTTGACCATTGTCACGTCATCTAGACCAAACAGGTTGTGGAGCAATAAGAAACACAGGTGGGAAAAAATGTTACAAAAGAGAAACACTGCAACAGCACATCATGTGACAAAAATCAACAGCTTGGACCATATTGTTATATTACTGGAATCAGATTGGCTCAAAACTATGTGAAAAGCAGGCTGTAGGTTCTCCGGACACCCACTTTTGGAGAGATTGTTACATCTTGTTTGAGGTATCAGATTTTTGATTTTAAAGCACTTTCTTCTCAAAGCCATCTGATCATCTTGATAGGCAATTTTAAATAATAAACCCAGACCCAGAATTTTAGAAGCTATCATTTTACTTCCAGTATCAAGCAATGCCTCACTATTTGTCCCCTGTTACCAAAGAATTCACATTATTTGTCAGTCTCTACTGGTACAGTGGAAATTCGGTTTTCAGGTTTGAACTTGAAAACCTCTAAATTGAAAGCACAAATAGTTTATCTTCCAGCTGAGTACTTGTGTTTGTTCCAGACGAGATGACCATCGCAGGCCTCCCAGAGATGACAGAGACCGAGGTGACCATGAGAAAAGGCGACCTCCACCAGAGAATCGTGAGAGAGGAGATCATGAGAAACGACGACCACCACCCGGTGATCATGAGAGGGGAAGTCAAGAGAAACGACCACCACCACCAGAGGACGGAGAGCAGAGGACATCTACTCAGGGCGGTCGGAGAGCAGCAAGGGGAGCGCCAAAGCTTCAAGTTACAGACACCTCTAAGGATAGGTGGGGAGACGTAATGTTCCTCGTGTTACAGGGAGAGACGTAATGTTCCTCGTGTTACAGGGAGAGACGTAATGTTCCCGTGTTACAGGGATAGATGTAATGTTCCTCGTTTTACAGGGATAGACGTAATGTTTCCAGTGTTACAGGGAGAGACGTAATGTTCCTCGTTTTACAGGGATAGATGTAATGTTCCTCGTGTTACAGGGAGAGACGTAATGTTCCCGTGTTACAGGGATAGATATAATGTTCCTCGTGTTACAGGGATAGATGTAATGTTCCTCGTGTTACAGGGATAGATGTAATGTTCCTCGTGTTACAAGGAGACGTAATGTTCCTCGTGTTACAGGGAGAGACGTAATGTTCCTCGTGTTACAGGGATAGACGTAATGTTCCTCGTGTTACAGGGATAGATGTAATGTTCCTCGTGTTACAGGGAGAGACGTAATGTTCCTCGTGTTACAGGGAGAGACGTAATGTTCCCGTGTTACAGGGATAGATGTAATGTTCCTCGTGTTGCAGGGAGAGACGTAATGTTCCTCGTGTTACAGGGATAGATGTAATGTTCCTCGTGTTGCAGGGAGAGATGTAATGTTCCTGTGTTACAGGGATAGATGTAATGTTCCTCGTTTTACAGGGAAAGACGTAATGTTTCCCGTGTTACAGGGTGAGACATTATGTTCCCCGTGTTCCAGGAAGAGACTTAACGTTTCTTGTGTTACAGGGATAGACGTTATGTTTCCCATGTTACAGGGAAAGGCGTAATGTTCTTGTGTTACAGGGAGAGACGTAACGTTCCTTGTGTTACAGGGAGAGACGTAACGTTCCTTGTGTTACAGGGAGAGACGTAATGTTTCCATGTGTTACAGGGATAGACGTAATGTTTCCATGTGTTGGGACACGTTTTCTTCAATACAGTGATGACATTGAACTCACACAATTTAAGAGTGGAAGAAAAATATCAACAAGTTATAACTGACATGAGCTACTGTAGGAGTATGAATGTCTCCCTGTCAGAATGGTGTGTGTGCTGCCTCCTACTGTCAGAATGGTGTGTGTGCTGCCTCTACTGTCAGAATGGTGTGTGTGCTGCCTTCTACTGTCAGAATGGTGTGTGTGCTGCCTCCTACTGTCAGAATGGTGTGTGTGCTGCCTTCTACTGTCAGAATGGTGTGTGTGCTGCCTCCTACTGTCAGAATGGTGTGTGTGCTGTCTTCTACTGTCAGAATGGTGTGTGTGCTGCCTTCTACTGTCAGAATGGTGTGTGTGCTGCCTTCTACTGTCAGAATGGTATGTGTGCTGTCTTCTACTGTCAGAATGGTGTGTGTGCTGTCTTCTACTGTCAGAATGGTGTGTGTGCTGTCTTCTACTGTCAGAATGGTGTGTGTGCTGTCTTCTGTCAGAATGGTATGTGTGCTGTCTCCTACTGTCAGAATGGTGTGTGTGCTGCCTCCTACTGTCAGAATGGTATGTGTGCTGCCTCCTACTGTCAGAATGGTGTGTGTGCTGCCTCTACTGTCAGAATGGTATGTGTGCTGCCTCCTACTGTCAGAATGGTGTGTGTGCTGCCTCCTACTGTCAGAATGGTGTGTGTGCTGTCTCCTACTGTCAGAATGGTGTGTGTGCTGCCTCCTACTGTCAGAATGGTGTGTGTGCTGCCTCCTACTGTCAGAATGGTATGTGTGCTGTCTTCTACTGTCAGAATGGTGTGTGCTGCTGTCTTCTACTGTCAGAATGGTGCTTCTGTCAGAATGGTAATGTGTGTGGTGTGCTGCCTGCCTCCTACTGTCAGAATGGTGTGTGTGCTGCCTCCTACTGTCAGAATGGTGTGTGTGCTGCCTCCTACTGTCAGAATGGTGTGTGTGCTGTCTTCTACTGTCAGAATGGTGTGTGTGCTGTCTTCTACTGTCAGAATGGTGTGTGTGCTGTCTTCTACTGTCAGAATGGTGTGTGTGCTGTCTTCTACTGTCAGAATGGTGTGTGTGCTGTCTTCTACTGTCAGTCAGAATGGTGTGTGCTGCCTTCTACTGTCAGAATGGTGTGTGTGCTGCCTTCTACTGTCAGAATGGTGTGTGTGCTGTCTTCTACTGTCAGAATGGTGTGTGTGCTGTCTTCTACTGTCAGAATGGTGTGTGTGCTGTCTTCTACTGTCAGAATGGTGTGTGTGCTGCCTTCTACTGTCAGAATGGTGTGTGTGCTGCTCTTCTACTGTCAGAATGGTGTGTGTGCTGAATGGTGTTCTACTGTCAGAATGGTGTGTGTGCTGCCTTCTACTGTCAGAATGGTGTGTGTGCTGCCTTCTACTGTCAGAATGGTGTGTGTGCTGCCTTCTACTGTCAGAATGGTGTGTGTGCTGCCTTCTACTGTCAGAATGGTGTGTGTGCTGCCTTCTACTGTCAGAATGGTGTGTGTGCTGTCTTCTACTGTCAGAATGGTGTGTGTGCTGTCTTCTACTGTCAGAATGGTGTGTGTGCTGCCTTCTACTGTCAGAATGGTATGTGTACTGTCTTCTACTGATGGTGGCAATTGTGATGCCCACAGTTTGTCTTTGGCTGCAGGAATGTTTCAGTTAATGCTCCACTAGAGATTCACAAGTATCTATTGAGTCTCATAGAATCCCAAAAGTTAATGGACCATTCGTAATTTATGGGAACAGGTGTGATGATGATTTTTATGGAGAAGGATGTACAATGTGAATGACACCCCAAAAAACAGTATGTACAAAGTAAGTGAGTGACCTCTTCTCCCCCCCCCTCTTCCGCATGTCACATGAAAAATCAATGACACCCCCTTCCTTATTTCTTAAGCACAATTTTTTATATTATGTACCAAATTGACACACATACACAGTACATGTGTATAAAATTGATGAACCTCCTACCTCCCTAGAACAAAATGGCACACACACACACACCCTTAAAATCATCATCATCATCCCACTCCCCAGCCATGTCACTAACCACTTGTCAGTCTACAGAAGAACTGAGTGTGAAACATGGAACTATCAAGCTGTGTGTCTTGTCATACTGTAACATACTAAACACTATGGGTCTACATGTCAATGTTCTGTCTTTCAGTAAACTTGTTTTGGATGCTGACTTCGGGAAGCCTGCAGATGACGAGTCCGAGCTGTAGATGACCTTCACCTTGTTCATCCATAGCCAGATCTGTCTTGTGTAGCAACAGGAAACTGGGAACCACACATTTGAGATGCAACTTTCCAAATTTTAATTGTATGTGAACATAATTCCATGGAGTTAAGTGATGTATGATTTCTTCCCAAGTGCTATTACAAATAAACTCATGCTCACAGTACACCACAGTGGGGACCTTCCAGGGGGTGTGCTTGCTGATTTGTAAGTGAACTGCAATAGTACTTTACTGTGAGGGAATCAGCTGGTCGCAGCCATTCACAGCAATTCTGATCACGTTAATCATAATACTGAGTAGGCCATGATGTTGGCATGATGGATTTTCTGCAGCCTTGTATATATGTGCATCAATTATATTGGCATGTAGTTTCTATACATTCTAGGAAATGATTTGTGAATGTAAAATCATGTAAAAACTTTCTTAAGTTTATCTTCTGTAGTTTGTCTGAATACATAGTACTGTTTCTATTTACATGGTCCATTTTCATCTCAAGAAGAAATTCAATGACATTCATAAATCTCAAGATGTACATCAAGATAAAATCATCCGCATATTTTTATCTCCATAATTATGATTCATGTTTATAATTGTTATGTATCGTTTTAACTGTTTATGATTATATTGTTATCTTCAGACAGTGATGGCAGTATATGAACATAGGAACATTCCTGTGAGCTCTTGCCGATTTGAAGCCATTTTGGAAAAGGGTTCATCATACATTATTTGAATGCTCTGACTTTGTTTTGTAACATATCATAACTTTCCAAATCAATATTTAGATTTTTTATAAATCTGTACACTATTTTAATAAACATTTTGTAAAAAAAATATTGCTGTAATGACTTGACAGGTGGATGTGGCACCTGGAACAGAAAGATCCATGCCCAGCAAATGTCATCAAGATCAGGCCCTGATTTCTCGAAACAAACTTAAGGTTTTACTCAAATTTCAAAATGAGTTTGACAATTTGAAACAGCTGAATTTTTTACTTAAGGCTTAAGTTTGTTTCAAGAAATCAGGGCCAGATCTGTTACTCCTGGATGGGGCACCTGGAACAGGAAGATCCATACCCAGAAACCACTGGGTAATATACTGACTGACTGAGTTTGGTTTTACGTCGCTTTTAGCAATATTCCAGCAATATCACGGCGGGGGACACCAGAAATGGGCTTCACTCATTGTACCCATGTGGGGATTCGAACCCGGGTCTTCGGCGTGACGAGCCAACGCTTTAACCACTAGACTACCCCACAGCCCCCTGGGTAATATAATTAAGATCAGATCTGTCACTCCATTAGCAGACCTGCAGCATGCCTGTAGCAGACCTCTGTGCATTAAGATCTGAGGACACATCCATAGAAAGCAGTGCAGGTGAATCCTAAGCAGGTAGTTTTCTTTCTTTCTTTCTGTAGCTTCCACAGTGCTGAGAAAGGACAGGATGTGTACAATATCCACAACTTGTACTGGTTTGTGATAAGGAACCAGATGTGCTCACTTGTACTAACAGCTACAGAAAGCCTTGACACTGATTGGCTGATGACAAGTTCCTCAGATGGCAGTGTCTTTACACAGATTTTGAGTTACAGATATGAATGACTGGGTTGGATTATGTTGGAGAAACAGGTGGTCCACAAGTCGCTGTGGTGCCGGCAATCCCAGACATAGCTGGGGTGAACCAGGATGCAGACAAAGAAACTCACCAACATACAGGACAACGTCTGGAGATTACACAGTAGTTTGTGTACAATGTGCTTTATTGTAGCCTGTGACAGATCTCTTGCCCCTGTAGAGAATCTCATTCACCATCAGCATTCCTTGTCAGTGAGCAATGTATGGAGGGTTTACATTCAAGAAGCTTCACTTAAAGGTCAAAGGCGCTGACAGTACTTTGCATTACATGACGTCACCACACTATTCTAGTCTGTCCCCTCGGAATCAAACGTACCCTTGATAACTAACGATGCGATTCATGCCCATTGTCATTTCCCATTAGACTCTTAAAGTGCTACTGGCACAATGAACATGCTTCATCCCTGTGTTGGAGTGTGCCAGTTACCAGTACCGGTAATACATTTGTCATCTTGGAAAAGATATGCATTTCAATGTCTCCCAATGTGTAATAAGTTTTAACAAGACAAGTTCAGGGCAAAACTGTACTTTATTACACTATACACGAGGATAGAGCAAACTGTATTATTAAATTTATTACCCACAGGACATTTATGTGAAGGTGAGCTACGTCTCAATACAACAGCTAAGACACCCTAAATGGATGGTGAATGGTTTGTGGGGTCCAGCTGTTCACAGGCCGTGGGAGGTGGCTGTCCACTGTCACAACCCTTTGTCTGACTCAGCGTGTTATCTCCATGGAGTGGGGAGTTGTTCCGTGAATGGTTTGTGGGGTCCAGCTGTTTACAGGCCGTGGAAGGTGGCTGTCCACAGTGTCACAACCCTTTGTCTGACTCAGCGTGTTGTCTCCATGGAGTGGGGAGTTGTTCCGTGAATGGTTTGTGGGGTCCAGCTGTTTACAGGCCGTGGAAGGTGGCTGTCCACAGTGTCACAACCCTTTGTCTGACTCAGCGTGTTGTCTCCATGGCGTGTGTAGTTGTTCTGTGAATGGTTTGTGGGATTCAGCTGTTCACAGGCTGTGGGAGGTGGCTGTCCAGAGTCTGGCATGGATACAACACTTGGTCTGCTGCTTCAGTTCATTAACAAACTTGGCGTGGCAAGCATAATTAGTTTTCAGCTTCTTAGCAAACAAACCGTGAAGGTCCGGGTTAGAATGATCCTTCAGTAACCCATGCTTGTCGTAAGAGGCGACCAATGGGATCGAGTGGTCAGGCTCGCTGGCTTGGTTTACACATGTCATCGGTTCCCAATTGCGCAGATCGATGCTCATGCTGTTGATCACTGGATTGTCTGGTCCAGACTTGATTATTTACAGACTGCCGCCATATAGCTGGAATATTGCTGAGTGCGGTGTAAAACTTAACTCACTCACAGCGAAGATGATGTAAAATTCATTTTGTAAACTTGTGAAGCAAGTGGACAAGTGAGTCGATGTGTGTTCCCCATTTTGTTTGGCCATTCGATCCGCTTTTAACATGGTGAGTGGACATGTGACCCCATTCTGTATATATCCAGTGGTATGTGGACATGTGACCCCATTCTGTATATATCCAGTGGTATATGGACATATGATCCCCTCTTGGTATGGTGAGTGGTAGTACTGGTATGTGGTCCTATCCTTCCCACACAGAAATGGAACTACAAATATCAGTTAGGATTGACAAAAACCGTTATATATTGTGTATAAGTTTTATTATATACATTGGCAAACAATCTAAACAATGCATAGCAGTTACTGCTAAGTTTATGAATGATAAATAGTTGTGTCCTGTCCGTCAGCCACATATAGCACACACCCAGGTGTTCTGTCAGGCACACATTGCACACACCCAGGTGTGTTCTGTAAGCCATACATTGCACACGCCCAGGTGTGTGTGTCAGCCACACATTGCACATGCCCAGGTGTGTGTCAGCCACACATTGCACACGCCCAGGTGTGTGTATCAGCCACACATTGCACACATCCAGGTGTGTGTCAGCCACATATAGCACACACACACGGGTATGTTGTCAGCCACACATTGCACACATCCAGGTGTGTTGTCAGCCACACATTGCACACGCCCAGGTGTGTTGTCAGCCACACATTGCACACATCCAGGTGTGTGTGTGTCAGCCACACATAGCACACACACACGGGTGTGTTGTCAGCCACACATTGCACACACACACACACACACGTTGTGTCAACCACACATTGCACATGCTCAGGTGTGTTGTGTCAGCCACACATTCAACACACACCCAGGTGTGTTCTGTCAGCCACACATAGCACACACACGCGGGTGTTGTGTCAGCCACACATTGCACACATCCAGGTTCTCTGTTTCCACATCACCAATGTAATCTAAATCAGATTTTAGTTACTGAAACTAATAAACAAAGAAATCACGACATTCCATTACAGGTCAACTGACTACAATCTTTCAGCTGACCAATTGAAGTGTTTTCTAAGCAAATCAGGAAGGTGATGTTTTCAAACCTGTAAACTTGAAACTGCTAACACAGGGTATTCTGAATAACATGTACAGCTGATTCTGTCAAATCCATCCTCTGGCTATTGTTATCCTCTGGAAGGATAACAATATATGGATGATACTTGCTTGATAACGGTGTTACAACCTACACCGAAACATCGCCACAGCAATAAAGAAGTTGTTCATCCATATATTGTTATCCTTCCTTACTGCTCCAACTTCTATATGCCTCTCAAAGAAGTCATCATCTGACTGTAGTTTCAGATAAATCTGACATTCAAGAATTCTTTCAGTTTTCAGTTTTGAATTGAAACTTTTCAAAGTTTAGTCTTCAAAGGAAGGCACCATTTTGAAAATGTGTGCTGTAAAGCTGAAGATAGCTGCTTTCTGGCTTTTTGTTTAGTACTTTCATTGATGGTTGAAGTTGGTGAAAGGACATTGTGACCTGTAATGGGATGCCCTCAGAAATTTGTTTAATGGTAATAACAACTAAAATTTGATTTCAAGGAGATTGCAAAATCACCTAAACACTTGTGACAATACAAGAGTAATGACAATGGTATGTTTGTGTTATGAAGATGTTGATAGTATACATTGTGTAAAGGGAGGAGGTTGCTTCAAGAGAATAATGACAGCAGGCAGGTGAAACAAGGTAGCAAAGATTTCAGTGATATCAAGTGTAAAATGTCTTGTGTGTCTGGTTTTTCACAGGTGTAATACGTCAGTTATCCACCAGATTCTTCATGGCATCTCGGACTGCATCAGCTTGGATCTTGTATTCTTCTATTCTGGCATCTAAGATCTTACGCTGCAAAATCAGAGCAGAACAAAAATTACACTGATTTACTAGACAAAAGTGAAAGGTTTTCAGGTAGATTTACCTGGGCAAACTATACATATAAAGAGATATGCAAGAATACTTATGAAATTTGGACAGGATACTTCTACATAGAAATGAGTAACCAAAATGACCCTGTGTTTATGAGGCAGTTTTATAGGTTGTGCAGCAATGTTAATACAGTGGACATGTACAGTTAGTGAGGGGAATGCTATACAATGTATTTAGACAGTGCTGGAATGGGGGTTTCTTTTGGTTGAATAAAATTACTAACTGCAGCTACATTTCCTTGTTGCCTGGTTTCACACAGTTTTCTTTATCGACTGGTACCCAGTTAGCTTTCAAGGAATGATATTGTTTCTGTCGTGTTCACAGAAGCAGTATTGTGATATTAAACCTCAACCATCTATACATTCAAATATTCTATACTGTAGCTAAGAAATGGCTTCACTGGCTTCTTACCATTTTGAGTGACCATCTCTTTATCTCCAGGTTGAGCAACTGTTCCACTGTCATCTTACCAGTTGTCTTGGGCAGCTTGAGAAACGGGCACTGGGGGGAGTGCTTCATATGTTCCTTCCTGCGGTGAAACCAGGTTTAACATGGCACTCAAAACATTTCAGTACTTACATCAGCAACAAGTGTGTGGCTGCTGGGGAGGTAATGTAAGTAGTGAGCGATTGCCTGTGTTGCAGGTGTGTGTAGAGACCACTGTATGTATCTGGGGAATAAGCTTGTGGTCAATCAGGCTGTGCAATAGAGCTTGGGAAGTACTTAAGAACTGATTTGAAAGGTGAAAGTTTGCAACCAATGGGAAGTGTGTGTCATGTTGGCTGTTTCTCCTTTATCTCCGACTGCTGTGAGTAATATAAATGATAATTTCATGTTTTAGCTAAACTATGTCACTGTACAGTGTTGCTGTTTGTGGTATTGGAGCAAGTATAAGTAAAAATTGCTGTAAACTAGTCCACTGTGTTTGACAAGTATGGCCATGAAGATGTCCGTATAGTTATGTGTGAAGTCACCAAGTACATGGTGTACCTTTCAAATCCAGTGTCTGGGGTTGGTGATATATCCTGTATGTAAGGCAATCATGGACAGATCGAGAAGGGGGCGAACCCGACATGCATCCCGATGTGTTTGGAATGTGTGACATCTCTAGTGTCTGTGATATACCCTGTATGTAAGGCAATCGTGGACAGATCGAAGGGGGCGAACCCGACACGCAGCCTGATGTGTGTGGAACGTGTAACATCTCTAGTGCACTGACAAAAACAATCACAGTACCATAACATAAGGCCTAAATAAATATGTTGTGGTTCCGATTACCTGACTGACCCTAGAATTCTTGTGCCGACCCTATTTTTTTCAGATACCAGTTTTTTTCCCCCCGACACCGACAGACATTGGTCATTCTGATAGAGAAAGTCGACATGATGGCCGCAAGTTTGATTGCATAAACAACTATACATTGATAAATGTGTTACTAGTTTGTACTTTACTCCTAAACAAATGTAAATTAAAAAAACAAATCCTACCTACCTACCCTAAATTTTAAAGAGGTGTAATTGGAACCACAACATGTTTTTCGTTTGGCCTATCTAACATTACTAACAATACTAATTCTCTTTAAAAACAGTTCTTATAATTATATTATATCACCGGGAAAATTTAAATATTATATGCATGATTGGGTGAACAATGGGAGAGAGAATGCATGATGTGTTTGTGAAAATAAGTTTGTGAATCACAGCATATACGAATCATTTTAAGCAAAGAAGGTTTAGCAAATATTTAAATTTCCTTTCAAATTGGTGTTTGTGATTCCTCTAGTGTGTGACACAGGACCAATACTGTTGCTCTTGCCATAGTTCACATATCCTACTCATACAAAATTCACAAAAAGGGCTGACAACTCCTTGTTTCATTCCCTTAACACCATGCACAAGGAAACATAACAACAAGCACCATATTTTGAAATGTTTTGGTGTGATGGGACTCCACCAATCATACACTCCTTAGGCCAACATTTCATTCACAGCCAATTCCTTGCTAAAGAACCCTGATAACACATACTGGTGCTAAAATTTTATAATAATAACACCAACAGCACCAGGGAAAACATTAATAGCCACTGATTTTGAGCTATATTTCTACACCACATAGATAGTGTAGTGCATGCCCTTATCACTACCCCGGTCAGTTGATCACACAAGGTGCCTGTGGGACATTAGCATGTAGTCCCACTGGGTTCTCCTTCACTGCGGAGTGAGCAGGGTGATAAATGAACAAAGTCACTTCACTGAACAGTAAGGCTGTAACGATTCACTCGCATATTCGGTGAATCGAAACGTAGCCATTCATGAATTCAATTCTTTATTCGTGGTCACCAGAACCGAATATTAACGAATATTTACGATTTTTTTAAGGGAGCATGTTTTACTCTTGAACCCTTGCGTACTTTTGGAAAGTGAGATATGCAAGAATATGTACTAGCATTGCAGTAGTGCAAGTCATGTCAGTTTGCCAAGGCCGCACATGGTACTGTCGACTATAACTATTACATACCAAATTTGAGTGTCATGAGATCACTGGTTATTGCTGTTACAAATCAAAACTGTCAACATGGGCGTTCCATATTGTACATCAATCACTTAACTACAATTTTGTATTCGTGAATAATTATTCGTATTCGTTACCCAATATTCATGATACGTATCATATTCGCCACAAAGTGTATTCGTTGCAGCCCTACTGAACAGATACAAGTGCTTCAGTGTGGGGGAACGACCAAAGCCCCAGAAACCCAACCAGGTACTTGATTAACGTTGCTTAACCTTATGGGATTTGTGACCTGTGCATTGTACACAGGCCCATGTATCACCAGTATCACAGCTGGTCATGTGATGGAAACACATATCATTTACTCTCAACTTCAACTAAGCCAAAATGTGAAAATAGAAGGATCTGTTAGACAGTGCCCCGTACTGATATACTTGTTAAAGATCACATATACTGTAGGAGGGTACTTTTTTGACAACAGTGCACAATTCTCACCCGCGAACGAAATTTCAACCAATCAGAGCGGGGCGTCTCTGTGACGTCATATGAGGGCCGATGCAGAATTCATCTACATTTCAGGGGGTAAATTATCTTGTTTACAGGTTTGTATAAACCTGAAATCGTGACAACTGTTGTGGAAAATGAAAGCTATATGTTCTCACAATCTGCTGTCTTTTAATTTTGTCTCCTGCTTTGCCTAGTTTCCGAAGTTACAACTTGTTTTCATAGACGATTCTGTCAAAATCGCTTTGTGTCGTTAGGCCTTATTTGTATAATGACTGATCCAAATTGATCCTATTTCTGTGTTTTTTTACCTCGATATTTCATCATGTCATGTAAAACTCTGTTTGTATTCTCAAAACAGTGTCGGCCCATAAGTTTTCACATGCCATACAGCAATTAATACTCCCTTGTTGTAACCAGTGTTAGGTGGTATAAACCTACACATGTTATTTGTCATCATTCACTTGATGGTCAGTTAATGAATTCATAACAGGTATAATTAGTGGTTACACACTTAGATTACCTGACAAAGGTTCACATTTGCCATTTCTTGTGTCTGGAGTAAATATTCAACATTATAAACATCGATCAAAGGATTAACCGATAACACGCTGATTGATTAATTACTTTTATCTTACGCAGCGGATTTGTCAAAAGGTAGTGTTTATGTATGTAGATTTACTAATCTATACTGAATACACTCTGTCGTGTCGGTGTCTGCTTAAAAACAATGTCCTTCTTTCAAAGGATTAACCGGCAATACATTGATTGATTGCCCACTATTGGCTAACTAAATTACTGTTTTTAAAGAAAGGCGGACATTATGCAATTAGTTGCCAGGTGTGCTATCTGGGTGACCAATGAAATTATACACTAATGTGAAATACCTGAAAACATTTATCCATTTTTCGTATATTAAATTGTTAGAAGACACATCACTTGGAACAGCTGCAGATGAATGGCATATCACTCGTTTTTGTGGATATTAATGGATAAATTCCTCGAACAGGGTAATAGCCTGACATTGTTCCTATAACTTTAATCTGTTTTAATTTTAATATTTACATTTGGTTTTTATTCATTTGTCGTAGCATTCAACAGAATCATTGTTTTCGCCGTGAAGTGTAATGAGACGGACAACATACACTAGGGTGTGTGTGCGAATTATGATTCACATTGGAAAACTATAAAATGTCTAGGCATTACAGTTCTGTTAAAAATTCACTATAAGTATCAGCAGATTGTCTGCTTTTTATTTAGTTTCAAAATGCATACAGGTATGATAATAAACTAATTAGGATTATAAGACCAAATATAAAGACGCACATTGACTAGTATCTAAATACTGGTGCGTGGACATTAACCATGTTCACGAATGTAGCAAGAAATTTATCGCGCAGTATTGTGACTTCGACCCCCCACCTCGCTTCCGAGGAAGAAATCGTTATGTTAAAAGTTGTGTCATGGAAAATCTTATGGTCATCAATCATATACATATTTTACAACAACTAGTAAGTAGTTTTGATTCTTTAACTTCCGTGAAGCAATCTGAACACAAGTAAGAATTACTAAGATATCGTTTCAGGCTTCCACAATGCTCGCTTCGCACTCACAAACATAACCCATTTAGCACGAACTGCGGGGTCCTGTGGAAATCTGTGCATGGTAACACCATCGCCCGACCCTTAGGAGCAATTGACGACAAAGCAACGATTCGGCATGTCGTTGTTCATGTCGAGAAATCATCAAAATGATGAGCGTGCTACACACTTTCTATACAACTAACTGAAAATCGTTCCTCATATGACGTCACTGCAGTGCTCTGGCGACAGAGTTACGTAACCTGTCTGTGGTTTCGTTGGCGGGCGAGAGTGAAGCAGGCGACTTTTTGGCAACTTTTAATCGCTCGGTATTAATTAACCACAAGTTTTTGTAGAATGAATTTGGTGTTCCGCATAAGTCTAACATCAAATATTTCATATGTAATAGTTAAAAGAGTACAAAAAAACAAAGTTTATTTGTTCTTGAATTTGTTAAACTTTGTCATACTTGCCACAGTTGTTAACCGACGTACATAGTCCTGATGTTTGTCACTGTTGTTAACTGACGTACATAGTCCTGATGTTTGTCACTGTTGTTAACCGACGTACATAGTCCTGATGTTTGTCACTGTTGTTAACTGACGTACATAGTCCTGATGTTTGTCACTGTTGTTAACTGACGTACATAGTCCTGATGTTTGTCACTGCTGTTAACCGACGTACATAGTCCTGATGTTTGTCACTGTTGTTAACCGACGTACATAGTCCTGATGTTTGTCACTGTTGTTAACCGACGTACATAGTCCTGATGTTTGTCACTGCTGTTAACCGACGTACATAGTCCTGATGTTTGTCACTGTTGTTAACCGGCGTGCCGCCGACGCATATAGTCCTGATGTTTGTCACTGCTGTTTACCGACGTACATAGTCCTGATGTTTGTCACTGCTGTTAACCGACGTACATAGTCCTGATGTTTGTCACTGCTGTTAACCGACGTACATAGTCCTGATGTTTGTCACTGTTGTTAACCGACGTACATAGTCCTGATGTTTGTCACTGTTGTTAACCGACGTACATAGTCCTGATGTTTGTCACTGTTGTTAACCGACGTACATAGTCCTGATGTTTGTCACTGTTGTTAACCGACGTACATAGTCCTGATGTTTGTCACTGTTGTTAACCGACGTATAGTCCTGATGTTTGTCACTGTTGTTAACCGACGTACATAGTCCTGATGTTTGTCACTGTTGTTAACCGACGCATACATAGTCCTGATGTTTGTCACTGTTGTTAACCGACGTACATAGTCCTGATGTTTGTCACTGCTGTTAACCGACGCATATAGTCCTGATGTTTGTCACTGTTGTTAACCGACGCATATAGTCCTGATGTTTGTCACTGTTGTTAACCGACGCATACATAGTCCTGATGTTTGTCACTGTTGTTAACCGACGTACATAGTCCTGATGTTTGTCACTGCTGTTAACCGACGTACAGTCCTGATGTTTGTCACTGCTGTTAACCGACGTACAGGTACATAGTCCTGATGTTTGTCACTGTTGTTAACTGACGTACATAGTCCTGATGTTTGTCACTGTTGTTAACCGACGTACATAGTCCTGATGTTTGTCACTGCTGTTAACCGACGTACATAGTCCTGATGTTTGTCACTGCTGTTAACCGACGTACAGTCCTGATGTTTGTCACTGCTGTTAACCAACGTACAGGTACATAGTCCTGATGTTTGTCACTGTTGTTAACTGACGTACATAGTCCTGATGTTTGTCACTGTTGTTAACCGACGTACATAGTCCTGATGTTTGTCACTGTTGTTAAACGACGTACATAGTCCTGATGTTTGTCACTGTTGTTAACCGACGTACATAGTCCTGATGTTTGTCACTGTTGTTAAACGCGGCGCACATAGTCCTGATGTTTGTCACTGTTGTTAACCGACGTACACAGTCCTGATGTTTGTCACTGTTGTTAACCGACGCACAGGTACATAGTCCTGATGTTTGTCACTGTTGTTAAACGACGTACATAGTCCTGATGTTTGTCACTGCTGTTAACCGACGTACACAGTCCTGATGTTTGTCACTGTTGTTAACTGACGTACATAGTCCTGATGTTTGTCTGAGCTACAGATAACATTTAGGGTCACTGAGTTTATACTCGCCTGTGCTCATCTCAATTGGGTATCCGAATTTTCCTTTGAGTAACCAAATAAATTTTACCTACCTCACTCAAACTGTAATATCAAATTTATTGAGAATTTATAAAACTTCCAACATACTTCTATCAGGGATTTACCTGGAGTCTTGTATATGAGGGACCCTGGGACTCATACTCTTAAATTCCAGGGGTCCTGGACAACAAAATGGCGATCCCAGACACTTAAATATTATTTAATACTGTTACTGTATTGTGTATCATGATCATCGTATTGTTACAGTAATTGAATTGCAAATGATACCATAACTGAGCTAGTAGCAAGCTCAGTGATAACTTATTGTTACTTGATTGGAATTTTTCTGCGTTCCTGTGGATGCTCTAATAAATTTTGTTGTGTCCATTGTCAATTTTTATGAGTATAGGAAGCAGGAATTTGCGTCCTTTAAATCCCTGCTTCTACTCAATAGGCTTAACAAGAAATGAGTTTTCACATAAATATTCGTGTAATTTACGCCGATACGCAGCTTTTCTGTACCTCTGTGTTTGTTGTGTGGATTGTGCAGGAACCAAAGACTCCATGAAAACTTTATAACTACATTATTCTGATTAATTCACATTCATGTGTACCCGTGAAGTTCCGTGTTAGAATATTGGCCTTCAGTAACCCATGCTTATCGTAAAATTCGACTAACAGGATCAGGTGGTCAGGCTGACTGACTTGGTTGACACATGTCATCGGTTCCCAATTGCGCAGCTTGATGGTCGATCGCTGGATTGTCTGGTCCAGACTCGATTATTTACAGACCGCCGCCATATAGCTGGAATATTGCTGAGTGCGGCGTAACACTACACTCACTCACTCACATTCATGTAAAATGTTACCATGGGTCATCATTGGGCTCCCATCCATCCAGTTCTTTGAGGCAGACAAAGCAGCGGACAGCATCTGGCTCCTGGTCAGTGGGGATGTGATACCACCCGGCAGCAGCCAACTACAAGAAGCAGCATCAACCATGTTTCATTGAGTTTATCAATGGAAGACCTACATAAAATTTAGGAACATTAATATGAGATAGAAATGTATTGCTTAACAGGAAATACTTGATATTGACACACAAGACACTGCATTTATTGTCGAATTCTGTCAAGATATGGGAAATTGTGTACATGTAGGCAGTGTGCACATTTAGGTCAGCAAGATGATCAATGTTTTGGCTAGAGTGCACTTTACAGGCCGCAGAGCTCGCGGCTCGCTGCGGGGCAATTATCGCGCTGTCTCACGCACTGTCTCGCTATATCGCCGTAATTGCTCCATCTCCCATCACTGCCAGTCAACCATCCTTAGGGTTTAAGGTTAGGTACCCTTTCCGATCCTCAGGGTTAGGGTTGGGTTTGGGAACCTCTGATACTTAGGGTTAGGGACCCTCACTTCTGTGCAAATGACCCGTTAAACGAGCACTCGTTAACTGTGATGGAGCTTGTGGTCCCGAGGTAGAGTGTCCGCTAATTACGCCATTAATTAACGAAGTCAGTTCACGACGAAGCGTGTTCGAGTCCCAGCAGAGCTAATTAATCTGAAAAAGTGCGCGCCCGGTAAAGTGCACTACCCCCAGTGTTTTCAGGTCCATAGCATATTTCCTATTTCGCATAAGAAACTGATGCAACTTCTGAATTGAAAACTACATGAAAGCTAAGTTCATTTGGGGTACATAATGGATCATCAAATTTTGTTCCAACCTTTCATGGTATTCACTTTTCTGGCTAAATCAGCCCAAATAAGCTTCAAGGCCTGTAAGCAGTAACTGTCATTGTCTAATATTGTCAAGTCAAATGTGCCAATGCATTTCAATCTTGGTACACAGTAAAAGTTCACTTTGTGGAACATTATGAATCACTGGATAATGGATTTAATCCACACAAAGATGTTGTGTTGTGGGTTGATTTATCCTACCATACATTTGAAATGAATACCTAATACACATTTATAATAATAATAATAAAGTTCATATTTGTAGTGCACCTAAATACAAAATTTGCTCAAAGACACAAGTCATAGGCTCGTTTGGACAGGAGGGTCTTCAGTTCACTTTAAAATATGTCACAGTCATTGATTTGCTGGATATTTGGTGGGAGTTCATTCCAGAGTGCAGGGCCTGCTTTGGCAAAACTCCTGTCACCGTAGAGTGTTGTTCTTGTTTTGGGGACATTTAGTTGTTGAAGTGAAGCTGACTGCAGCGTTCTCGGAGGTTGGTATCTGGTTAAAAGGTGTTCCAGATACAGAGGGGCTAGACTGTGAAGAGCTTTAAACACAAACATCAGTAATTTGTAAACAACCCGATGGTGAATTGGAAGCCAGTGTAGGTCGTATAAGATTGGTGTAATATGCTTGTGTTTGCGTTTTCCACCTATCAATCTTGCCGCTGAGTTCTGAACCTTCTGAAGTTTGCTCAGGCATAGCTGGTACAGCAGTGAATTACCGTAATCCAGCCGAGATGTCACAAAAGCATGGATAAGTGTCTTGGTTGCCGCAATGCCTACATACCGCTTGATTTGACTGATATTTCGCAGGTGGTAGCAGAGCTCCAGATAAGATTTAGCTCATGTGGGTACTGTGCCCACTGTATTTTTGTGGAGTGGGTATTATGAATGTTGAGTGTATATTTCATTTTCCGTTACCCACTGCTTTAAAAAATGTGCGTATTTCAGTCATTTTACTCACCTAAGTATTATGTCATTGAGTAAGTTTACTAAGCAGGTAAGTTCTGCCTTGTGTCATACCTAATCAAAACCAACTAAAATATAATGGAAATGATTTCATAAAAAATCACTCATCCTATACTGACAGTGCAACACTTATCCTATACTAACAGTACAACTTGATAGCAATCAATGTCTTTTTATTACGCAAGTGATTTTTATAAATATATTCCATATGCATTTGTTTTAAACTTTTTGCGTATCTAACATGTCAAATGCGTATTTGCTACGCAACAATTACTTTTCAATGCGTAAATGGAAATTTTCTATGTGTATTTTACCCAGATATGCAGCTTATCTGGGCCTCTGTGGTAGTAAACAACCTTGCATACTGCATTTTTATGATGTGCAGTCCCTAGTGTTGCCTGAAAGATGAAACCTAAGTTTCTGGCTTTGATGGCCTGATAACAAATTCTCCAATGTGAAGGGGTGGTGTTGACATCTTGGAGAGCGTTTGTCTGGAACTGATGATCATGAGTTAATTGATTTTGTACATACATGCGGGGGTGTCACTTATTTTGTACATACCATTTAGGGGGGGGGGGGTAATTCACATTGTACATGCTTCTCCACAAAAATCATCACTCCCACCTAGCCATAAATTATGAACGGTCCCTTAGTTAGTATCAACTTACTTTAAAGAAAGTATGTAGAGACGACATACGTTAAAACTGACGTCATGGTCTGAAAAGCAGTACTTCCCATTCCTCTATGAGATAATATCAGCTCAAAACGTGCAATACAAATTACAAATTATACAATATCGATTTGGGCTCAGAAGAGCTTTGACTAACGTTGTACCTTTGCAGCAGTACATTCGTGCTCTGCTTCATATGGCCAGTTCTGGAAACTGTTAAGTCGTTTTTCTTCTAAATGCATAAAATAATCGTCGATTTCAAGACTGATGTTTGCCATGATGATGCCAACATGAAAACAAATACAACGAAGTTGTTCGAACTACTTTTCAAACCTGCCGGGTCGAAGGCAAGCAGCGCCATCTGCTGGGGGAAGGGACGTCACTCCAGCTTGACTTATGTCGCAAAGCGCACGTAAAATCTCCAAATCATCGTATTCGCTTGCCACTTGGTTGTGCGCTCCCAGCAAATACATCTTGGCTTGGAACTCCTATCTCAAATAAAAGCTAATATATATTTCTTATTAAGATATAGAGATTAAGCTATCAGTCCTTTAACGATTCTATAAATAGGCGCACTCTATCACATTAATACAAACAGGGATACACCTGTCGGTATTCCGCGAAGAAACAACCGATCATTTCAAAATTGTTATGTTTTTCTTTAAGGGTTAAAATAACTCAAGATCATTATAAACATGTGTAACTTCTCAACAATGCAAAAACTGTGGAAATGGAAATGGATTGAATGGGTTGGCAAAATCAAAACAAGGTATTTTGGCCAAGAAGTTTAACTTAGCTTTCGGTACATCGATAATCGAATATCGTTCAATAACCATCAAATAGCCAATTGCCCTCCACTGATTTACCCATCTCAACTTGAAACTAAAGAGACAAGTGAGATCGCCTCAAATGTTTCATGTTTAGATCTATGTATAAAGATTCAGAGTGACAAATAATCTCAGCAAAGCTGTATGACAAAAGGGATGATTTCAACTTTCCAATAGAATCTAGTCAACCTCCCTTTCATGTCGAGCAATATTCCATCAGCTCCAGCCTTTGGTGTTTACATTTCACAACTTTTGAGGTACAATCGAGCGTGCTCTTTTTATCAGGATTTCAAAGAGCGGCATGCCACTCTTGCTCAGGTTGTTTTGTTTGTACATTGTTCTACTCGACTATCTCTGTGTCCGAGTTATGTATCTTGTACATCGTTCTACTCGACTAGCTCTGTGTCTGTTTAGTTCTGTATCTTGTACATCGTTCTACTCGACTAGCTCCGTGTCTGTTTAGTTCTGTATCTTGTACATCGTTCTACTCGACTAGCTCCGTGTCCGTTTAGTTCTGTATCTTGTACATCGTTCTACTCGACTAGCTCCGTGTCCGTTTAGTTCTGTATCTTGTACATCGTTCTACTCGACTAGCTCCGTGTCCGTTTAGTTCTGTATCTTGTACATCGTTCTACTCGACTAGCTCCGTGTCCGTGTAGTTCTGTATCTTGTACATCGTTCTACTCGACTAGCTCCGTGTCCGTTTAGTTCTGTATCTTGTACATCGTTCTACTCTCGGACTAGCTCCGTGTCCGTTTAGTTCTGTATCTTGTACATCGTTCTACTCGACTAGCTCCGTGTCCGTTTAGTTCTGTATCTTGTACATCGTTCTACTCGACTAGCTCCGTGTCCGTTTAGTTCTGTATCTTGTACATCGTTCTACTCGACTAGCTCCGTGTCTGTTTAGTTCTGTATCTTGTACATCGTTCTACTCGACTAGCTCCGTGTCTGTTTAGTTCTGTATCTTGTACATCGTTCTACTCGACTAGCTCCGTGTCTGTTTAGTTCTGTATCTTGTACATTGTTCTACTCGACTAGCTCTGTGTCTGTTTAGTTCTGTATATTGTACATTGTTCTACTCGACTAGCTCTGTGTCTGTTTAGTTCTGTATATTGTACATCGTTCTACTCGACTAGCTCTGTGTCTGTTTAGTTCTGTATCTTGTACATTGTTCTACTTTGACTAGCTCTGTCTGTTTAGTTCTGCATGGTCTGTTCTGTTCTATTATATGGTCCTGTTCTATATTTTCAGTCTAGCCATGCCCCTCAGTATAGAAAACTGTTTCAACGGAACGTTATGTCCAGTAGTTTTATTCCTCGGTAACAAATCTCTCCAGTAATCTTTTACTGTTAGGTCTGTTCCAGTACGGACTATTTTCTCTGCGGAACTGTTCATCATTTAGGTAATACCTGAGAACGAAATTTTGGTATTTGATAACATTAAATCACGAGGTTAGAGCCTTCACTTGAAGGAACACGAGTTCTGTCATTTGCGTCGCCAAGTCGCACGTGCATGTTGAACAAGGGACCAGTCATGTGATGTAGGAAGGGAGACAATTCGGTTTTCCCCCAACGAAATAATTTCTGCACACGGCACCATAGTACTTACATTAGGTGTGACCGAGCGCCAGTGATCTAAGTATCTGACATTTAGGTATGTAACTGGCTCTTGTTGTCCTTCTTGGCTGTACTGACATATCAAACACATTCGTTAACATTTCAGGTATTGTCAGCTGACGGAATCCTTTGTCTTTACAGACAGACAGGTTGAGGCGGACAATTTGTGTTTTGTTGGGGCTCAACCTATCATGTTTACGTTCTCATCAAGCGTTGTTGTGCTCGTATTATGCCTTCATGCCAGTGCTGAACCCGGTTCCTTGTGTTGGTAAGAGGGTGGTCATGGAGGAAATTACCATACTTTCCTCTCTCAAACCAAACCGGCGATATTCGAGCAGGCAGCCTGCTACAGAATTAGCCATACGTAATTAGTCCGACGGCATGTTCCACCATTAGGCAATGTTCAACGACAGGACGCGCCTTACATGTTGGCTGGTGTTATGGTGGACTCAATAGATGTATTGCGTGACAAGGCCAGTCGGGTAAACATCCAGCACTGATAAGTAGGGGTATTGTTTTCACATGTACGCTAAATGGTACGTATTATCAGACAGCAGATAATTACTGCTTTCAACAGACTTCAGTATCAGAGACAGCTGTCAGTTCACTATTCCAAGACTATTCTTTCCGGATAATAAGTGTCATGCCAATCACCAGTTGGCTGACTACTCCCTTTTGGTACTCAAACATCAGGGTTAAATGTGAAGTTTTAATCCAGACTTAGTAGCTTGCAAGAAGCTATTAAACTCAGATTAGGTTCTAAGATTCAACATGTAAATGGTGCATGTACAAGTTTATTTAATGTCACATTTTTCAGATGTTTTGTCAGTTATAAAACTTCAAAGTGGGCCTATTTCTCATCAGCTCAAAAAAGCTCAATCAAGCATGCAAGTGCTCAAAATCTGAATCTGTTATTTGTGACTCAAGTACTAGCTAATGCAAGGTAACGCTAAATACATTGATATTGTTTCTTCCATTCAGTTATCTTGTTGAATAATTGTTCTTTCAGTTATCAAATCAAATTGAGGTAAGAAATGGAGGTTGCATAAGTGAACAGACCGAATTGTTATTTAGAAAGATATTCCGTTATCAGAAGTATTCTACCTGGTTCTCTAACACAAGTCAAGTTTCACCCCTGTCTTACTTGGCTCCTCAAATAATAAACATTGGACATGTTTAAGTTCTGGAGTTGAAAAGGAAATGGTATCAGAGATTCTGGGAAGACGGGCGTCGTCACTGTTAGTAATGGACTGTGTGTCAATAATTCACTGTCACCTTCCTCCTTGTGACAATGGGCTTATTCTGAGGCTCTGGTACCTTTCATGTATCTTCTGGGTTTATTGTGTATGGCACATATTTGGAATCTTTTGCTTTTGTAGCACATGGTGCATATCATGTTTCTACTAGCTTAGTACATAGTGAGCTAAGATAGTATGGGTAGTACATAGTGAGCTAAGATAGTATGGGTAGTACATAGTGAGCTAAGATAGTATGGGGTAGTACATAGTGAGCTAAGGTAGTATGGGGTAGTACATAGTGAGCTAAGATAGTATGGGGTAGTACATAGTGAGCTAAGGTAGTATGGGTGAGTACATAGTGAGCTAAGATAGTATGGGTTAGTACATAGTGAGCTAAGGTAGTATGGGTTAGTACATAGTGAGCTAAGATAGCATGGGTTAGGGGCATAGTGAGCTGAGGTAGTATGGGTTTAAGACATGAGTAGAGCTAAGATAGTATAGGGTAGTACATAGTGAGCTAAGGTAGTATGGGGTAGTACATAGTGAGCTAAGAAGATAGTAGCACATAGTGAGCCAAGATAGTAGTACACAGTGAGCTAAGGTAGTATGGGTTAGTACATAGTGAGCTAAGATAGTATGGGGTAGTACATAGTGAGCTAAGGTAGTATGGGTTAGTACATAGTGAGCTAAGATAGTATGGGTTAGTACATAGTGAGCTAAGATAGTATGGGTTAGTACATAGTGAGCTAAGATAGTATGGGTTAGTACATAGTGAGCTAAGATAGTATGGGGTAGTACATAGTGAGCTAAGGTAGTATGGGTTAGTACATAGTGAGCTAAGATAGTATGGGGTAGTACATAGTGAGCTAAGGTAGTATGGGTTAGTACATAGTGAGCTAAGGTAGTATGGGTTAGTACATAGTGAGCTAAGATAGTATGGGTTAGTACATAGTGAGCTGAGGTAGTATGGGTTAGTACATAGTGAGCTAAGATAGTATGGGGTAGTACATAGTGAGCTAAGGTAGTATGGGGTAGTACATAGTGAGCTAAGATAGTATGGGGTAGTACATAGTGAGCTAAGATAGTATGGGGTAGTACATAGTGAGCTAAGGTAGTATGGGTTAGTACATAGTGAGCTAAGATAGTATGGGTAGTACATAGTGAGCTAAGGTAGTATGGGTTAGTACATAGTGAGCTAAGGTAGTATGGGTTAGTACATAGTGAGCTAAGATTGTATGGGTTAGTACATAGTGAGCTAAGATAGTATGGGGTAGTACATAGTGAGCAAAGATGGTATGGGGTAGTACATAGTGAGCTAAGATAGTATGGGGTAGTACATAGTGAGCTAAGATTGTATGGGTTAGTACATAGTGAGCTAAGATAGTATGGGGTAGTACATAGTGAGCAAAGATGGTATGGGGTAGTACATAGTGAGCTAAGGTAGTATGGGTTAGTACATAGTGAGCTAAGATAGTATGGGTTAGTACATAGTGAGCTAAGATTGTATGGGTTAGTACATAGTGAGCTAAGATAGTATGGGTTAGTACATAGTGAGCAAAGATGGTATGGGGTAGTACATAGTGAGCTAAGGTAGTATGGGTTAGTACATAGTGAGCTAAGATAGTATGGGTTAGTACATAGTGAGCTAAGATAGTATGGGGTAGTACATAGTGAGCTAAGATAGTATGGGGTAGTACATAGTGAGCTAAGGTAGTATGGGTTAGTACATAGTGAGCTAAGATAGTATGGGGTAGTACATAGTGAGCTAAGGTAGTATGGGTTAGTACATAGTGAGCTAAGGTAGTATGGGTTAGTACATAGTGAGCTAAGATGGTATGGGGTAGTACATAGTGAGCTAAGATAGTATGGGGTAGTACATAGTGAGCTAAGATTGTATGGGGTAGTACATAGTGAGCTAAGATAGTATGGGTTAGTACATAGTGAGCTAAGATTGTATGGGTTAGTACATAGTGAGCTAAGATAGTATGGGGTAGTACATAGTGAGCAAAGATGGTATGGGGTAGTACATAGTGAGCTAAGGTAGTATGGGTTAGTACATAGTGAGCTAAGATAGTATGGGTTAGTACATAGTGAGCTGAGGTAGTATGGGTTAGTACATAGTGAGCTAAGATAGTATGGGTTAGTACATAGTGAGCTGAGGTAGTATTGGTTAGTACATAGTGAGCTAAGATAGTATGGGTTAGTACATAGTGAGCTAAGATAGTATGGGTTAGTACATAGTGAGCTGAGGTAGTATGGGGCAGTACATAGTGAGCTAAGGTAGTATGGGGTAGTACATAGTGAGCTAAGATAGTATGGGGTAGTACATCGTGAGCTAAGATAGTATGGGATAGTACATCGTGAGCTAAGATAGTATGGGGTAGTACATCGTGAGCTAAGATAGAATGGGGTAGTACATCGTGAGCTAAGGTAGTATGGGGTAGTACATCGTGAGCTAAGATAGTATGGGGTAGTACATCGTGAGCTAAGGTAGTATGGGGTAGTACATAGTGAGCTAAGGTAGTATGGGGTAGTACATAGTGAGCTGAGGTAGTATGGGTAATTACATAGTGAGAAAAGATGGTATGTTTAGATACAATGGTGAGTGGGTTTGGAGTGTATAGCACGAAGCTTGCCATCATGTGTCGGTATTTCAGATTATATACAAGCCAGGAAATACGCTTGTTGATGGAGTGTATCCTGCTGGGGTCATGACAACACTGCCGAGTACCATGCATTGAACAATTTGAAGAGGAAGAGGAAACTATTTCCTTTGTATAGAGGAACAGTTTGGTCAGAGAGTCGTATGTTGTGAAGAGGAAATTTAAATGATTTTATTGTTATGATACATGTTCACGGAACCATATTACAGAACCTAGCTTCCAGCAAGCAACGATGTTTATATGTCACAGTAATTAATGTCCCAATTGAGATCAAATTTCAATGTGATTTAATTTAATGTGTATTTTGTTTGTTTGTTTGTGCGTGTGTTTGTTTGATGCTGCACTCAGCAATATTCCAGCAATATGGCGGCTGTCATTAAATAATCAAGTCCAGTGATCAACAGCATGAGCATCAAACTATGCCATTGGGATACGATGACATGAGTTAATGAGTCTGACCAGCTGTTCCTGTTAGGCCCCCCACCTGTTCCCATTAGGCCCCCCCCAAAATATGTCCTCTTCCAGTTACCCAACCGACCCTATCCTATTGTGTGTTGATATATCCATGTGTGTATAAAGCTGTGTTGTATCGTGTGTTGATATATCCATGTGTGTATCAAGCTGTGCTGTGTGTTGATATATCCATGTTTCCAAGTCCGACGCAAATCTAATATCAAGTTGAGGATAGCAGTACTGCTTGTGCTTGGTGCTTCTTGTGAATCATTGTTGGGATGTGATTCACGTTTTCATAAATCATCTGTTTTGAGTTTTTTTCTTACATGGTTCAGATTGAATGTCTCCTGTATCATTGTTCACTGTTGTATATAGTACTGTATATGTCACAGAAGCTGCTCTCAACTTTGAGATATGTCTGGACCCCCACCACCATACCCAGGAGGCCCAGCCTACCCCGTAGACAACAAGGGAGTGCCCCCTCCAGGTAGGTATACGGTCAATGTCTGGACCCCACCACCCTACCCAGGAGGCCCAACCTACTCCGTAGACAAGGGAGTGGCCCCTCCAGGTTGATATATGGTCAATGTATATATGATACAACAAACCTCCTTGGTCCACTGTGGTGTACCCCAGGGATCGGTACTCGGTCCGCTTCTTTTCATAGCATACACGACCGATGTTGCAGACGTAATTGACAAACATGGCATTTCCCATCATTCGTTTGCAGATGACACTCAACTTCAGAAAAACTCAACTCCCAAGGACTTTCACACTGGTCTTCATAAAATAACAGACTGTACTAAAGATGTTAAGTCATGGATGACAAACAACTTGCTAAAGTTAAATGATGACAAAACTGAGGTGATGGTTATTGGATCCAGGCAAATGCAAAAACAAATTACCACCAAAACTGTTCTGGTAGCAGATGCAGAGATACAAGCTGTCGACTCTGTTAAAGACCTTGGAGTTACACTTGACTCACACCTGGCGATGGACACTCATGTAAATCAACTCTGCAGAATATGCTTCTTTCATCTACGAGCCATTGGCAGAATACGCCATCTCATCAGTCGTGATGCAGCACACGGTCTGGTCCAGGGACTTGTTATATCAAGAATTGATTACTGCAATAGCCTACTTTTTGGTATCTCTCAGAAGCTGCTATCAAAATTGCAAAATGTCCAAAATACAGCCTCCCGAATCATAAGCAGAACTTCAAAGCTCACACATAACACCTGTCATGAAAACCTCCACTGGCTGCCTGTTAAATCAAGAATTGTCTTTAAAATATTGTGTTTTGTCTACAAATGCCTCAATGGCATAGGCCCAGAATACCTGAAAGAACTCCTTACCCCGTACACTCCAGAAAGACAGCTCCGTTCTCAGAATCTGAACCTACTCTCTGTGCCTCGGTTCAAACTGCAAACTTTTGGAGGAAATCCTTTGTCTGCTCTGCCCCTCTACTCTGGAACTCTCTCCCTATCACCATTAAATCAGCAGTTGACTTTTATTCCTTCAAACGACTTCTCAAGACTCATCTGTTTTCACTGCATTATGACTAGCAACTAGTCCCTTATTGTATATATGTATTATTATCCACTCACTTTGTTAGCGCTTTGAGCATGGGCCTTGTGCATGGAAAAGGCGCATTATAAGTTCACATTTATTATTATAATGTCTGGACCCCACCACCCTACCCAGGAGGCCCAGCCTACTCTGTAGACAAGGGAGTGGGTCCTCCAGGTTGATATACGGTCAATGTCTGGACCCCACCACTCTACCCAGGAGGCCCAGCCTACTCCGTAGACAAGGGAGTGGGTCCTCCAGGTTGATATATGGTCAATGTCTGGACCCCACCACCCTACCCAGGAGGCCCAGCCTACTCCGTAGACAAGGGAGTGGGTCCTCCAGGTTGATATATGGTCAATGTCTGGACCCCACCACTCTACCCAGGAGGCCCAGCCTACTCCGTAGACAAGGGAGTGGGTCCTCCAGGTTGATATACGGGTCAATGTCTGGACCCCACCACTCTACCTACCCAGCCTAGGCCCAGCCTACCCTCAGACAACAAGGGTCAATGTGCCCCTCCAGGTAGGTGAATACATGGGGGCATGGTATACATGGGGCATGGTGGGCGAGCTGGCTAAGCGCCTGGGTAGTGATCAAGCGAGCATGAGGTGCCGGGATCGAGCCCACCTGTGACCGGTTGTAAAAACCTTGGAGTCAACTCTTTCAGTGTTGTCACAACCCCTAGTGTACAGTACACAACCCTGTGCACTTAAAAGAACCCATGAAACCGTTGGTATATGACCAGATGGTGGCCACATGAATACGTGCAGACAACAGTTGCGGGTACAGCAACGTGCAGTGATCTTGGACAACGTACTGTGACTGTGTCCCAATCCACCCTGCTGTGAATGGGTACCTCGTATGGATGGGAAAGCCGCAATAACTCGGTGCGCCTAGTGGCTGCAAGACATGTATGCTCCCCAGGGAGCTGAGATTGATAATAAGATGTGCCGTTGAGATTGACATCCAATGATCGAGGGAAAAACTATCAGCGCCTTGAGCATGCACTAGTGTGTGGATATGTGCGCTATATAAATATCCAATAACAAATAAATAAATAAATATACGGTCAATGTCTGGACCCCACCACCCTACCCTGGAGGACCAGCCTACCCTGTAGGCAACAAGGAGCACCAACTCCTGGTAGCTATAACATTGACAGTCACGGTTGGCCTGAATACTAATTTTGAAGTATGAGAAAAGGCATTAGTGCAGGACGTAAGTTGAATTCAATCCAAAAAGTCGTCATTCTGATGTTTGTATTTGAGAGAAACTGTGAACACTGTCCATGATTAGACAGGTTATTCTCCAACATATAGTATCATCCTAGTTAGGGCTGTCCTTACAGAATGTTTAACATTCAGCTTATTTTTGTTACTTACAGTGCAGTATCCCCCGCCTGGACCTCCACCCCCTGGATACCCAGGTAACATTGGTAATATGTATCTTCTTTGAGAGGCATTTTAGAAGTTGTATAGATGAAGGGCAACCAAGTTCTATGGATAGTCAACTTCTTTATTGCAATGGGTGCGACGTTTCGTCGTAGATATCGGTGGTAACATGTATCATTGCTTACTTGGTAATATGTAGATATCGGTGGTAACATTGTCATTGGTTACTTGGTAATATGTAGATATTGGTGGTAACATTGTCATTGGTTACTTGGTAATATGTAGATATCGGTGGTAACATTGTCATTGGTTACTTGGTGATATGTAGATATCGGTGGTAACATGTATCATTGCTTACTTGGTGATATGTAGATATCGGTGGTAACATTGTCATTGGTTACTTGGTAATATGTAGATATTGGTGGTAACATTGTCATTGGTTACTTGGTAATATGTAGATATCGATGGTAACATTGTCATTGGTTACTTGGTAATATGTAGATATCGGTGGTAACATGTATCATTAGGTACTTGGTGATATGTAGATATCGGTGGTAACATGTATCATTGGTTACTTGGTGATATGTAGATATTGGTGGTAACATTGTCATTGCTTACTTGGTAATATGTAGATATTGGTGGTAACATTGTCATTGGTTACTTGGTAATATGTAGATATTGGTGGTAACATTGTCATTGCTTACTTGGTAATATCAGTGTTCCCGTTCTCCGGTAATTACCGGATTTTTACCGATAAAAATTGTGAAGATCCGGTATTTTCAACTGCCGTCGGTAGCTGCCGCCGGTAAATTTTGTATTGCTTAAAGTTGCCATTTATCGGCAGATTTAATAAACTTGCAGATAACATCTTTGTTTATTCTTTGTTCTCTTCAGATCATTATGCAAACGTATATTGAAAACTAGGGTGGCAATCCCACATCTAAATATAGACTATATAGTTTTATTGGTTGTAACATGTTTATTTTATTGGTTAAAGATTGGTTTCTAATGACGCTTTTAAGCCACAGTCTGCTATAATGGGTCGTGAATTGGTCAAAATCTGAGGCTTACTTTTGTGATATGTAGATATCGTCTCGGCAGACTAACATATCGTCATTGGTTACTTGGTAATATGTAGTTATCAGTGGTAACATGTATCATTGGTTACTTGGTGATATGTAGATATCAGTGGTAACATATCATTGGTTACTTGGTAATATGTAGATATCAGTGGTAACATATCATTGGTTACTTGGTGATATGTAGATATCGGTGGTAACATGTCTCATTGGTTACTTGGTAATATGTAGATATCGGTGGTAACATGTATCATTAGGTTACTTGGTGATATGTAGATATCGGTGGTAACATTGTCATTGGTTACTTGGTGATATGTAGAGTGGTAACATTGTCACTGGTTACTTGGTAATATGTAGATATCAGTGGTAACATGTCTCATTGGTTACTTGGTGATATGTAGAAATCGGTGTAACATGTATCATTAGTTACTTGGTAATATGTAGTTATCAGTGGTAACATATATCATTGCTTACTTGGTAATATGTAGAAATCGGTGTAACATGTATCATTGGTTACTTGGTAATATGTTGATATCAGTGGTAACATGTATCAGTCATTGGTTACTTGGTAGTATGTAGTTATCAGTGGTAACATATCTCATTGGTTACTTGGTAATATGTAGATATCAGTGGTAACATATCTCATTGGTTACTTGGTAATATGTAGTTATCAGTGGTAACATGTATCATTGGTTACTTGGTAATATGTAGTTATCAGTGGTAACATGTATCATTGGTTACTTGGTGATATGTAGATATCAGTGGTAACATGTATCATTGGTTACTTGGTGATATGTAGATATCGGTGGTAACATGTATCATTGGTTACTTGGTGATATGTAGATATCAGTGGTAACATGTATCATTGGTTACTTGGTGATATGTAGTTATCAGTGGTAACATTGTCATTGGTTACTTGGTAATATGTAGTTATCAGTGGTAACATTGTCATTGGTTACTTGGTAATATGTAGTTATCAGTGGTAACATATCTCTGGTTACTTGGTGATATGTAGTTATCAGTGGTAACATGTATCATTGGTTACTTGGTGATATGTAGTTATCAGTGGTAACATATCTCTGGTTACTTGGTGATATGTAGTTATCAGTGGTAACATATCTCTGGTTACTTGGTGATATGTAGATATCGGTGGTAACATGTATCATTGGTTACTTGGTGATATGTAGTTATCAGTGGTAACATGTATGTCATTGGTTACTTGGTGATATGTAGTTATCAGTGGTAACATAGTCATTGGTTACTTGGTAATATGTAGTTATCAGTGGTAACATATCTCTGGTTACTTGGTAGATATGTAGTTATCAGTGGTAACATATCTCTGGTTATCTTCTAGTTACTTGGTATGTATGTAGTTATCAGTGGTAACATATCTCTGGTTACTTGGTGATATGTAGTTATCAGTGGTAACATATCTCTGGTTACTTGGTGATATGTAGTTATCAGTGGTAACATATCTCTGGTTACTTGGTGGTAATATGTAGTTATCAGTGGTAACACTTGGTAATCTCTGGTTACTTGGTAATATGTAGTTATCAGTGGTAACATATCTCTGGTTACTTGGTGATATGTAGTTATCAGTGGTAACATGTCTCTGGTTACTTGGTGATATGTAGTTATCAGTGGTAACATATCTCTGGTTACTTGGTAATATGTAGTTATCAGTGGTAACATATCTCTGGTTACTTGGTGATATGTAGTTATCAGTGGTAACATATCTCTGGTTACTTGGTGATATGTAGTTATCAGTGGTAACATATCTCTGGTTACTTGGTGATATGTAGTTATCAGTGGTAACATATCTCTGGTTACTTGGTGATATGTAGTTATCAGTGGTAACATATCTCTGGTTACTTGGTGATATGTAGTTATCAGTGGTAACATATCTCTGGTTACTTGGTGATATGTAGTTATCAGTGGTAACATATCTCTGGTTACTTGGTGATATGTAGTTATCAGTGGTAACATATCTCTGGTTACTTGGTGATATGTAGTTATCAGTGGTAACATATCTCTGGTTACTTGGTGATATGTAGATATCGTTATCAGTGGTAACATATCTCTGGTTACTTGGTAATATGTAGTTATCAGTGGTAACATGTAGTTATCAGTGGTAACATATCTGGTTACTTGGTGATATGTAGTTATCAGTGGTAACATATCTCTGGTTACTTGGTAATATGTAGATATCAGTGGTAACATATCTCTGGTTACTTGGTGATATGTAGTTATCAGTGGTAACATATCTCTGGTTACTTGGTGATATGTAGTTATCAGTGGTAACATATCTCTGGTTACTTGGTGATATGTAGATATCGGTGGTTACTTGGTAACATGTAGATCTCTGGTTACTTGGTAATATGTAGTTATCAGTGGTAACATATCTCTGGTTACTTGGTAATATGTAGTTATCAGTGGTAACATATCTCTGGTTACTTGGTGATATGTAGATATCGGTGGTAACATGTCTCTGGTTACTTGGTAATATGTAGTTATCAGTGGTAACATATCTCTGGTTACTTGGTGATATGTAGATATCAGTGGTAACATATCTCTGGTTACTTGGTAAAATATAACTGGTAGAATGTAGTGGTTACAGATGTCACCGGTTACCATAGTAGCAACCAGATAATATACTGATAGCACTCTCGATATTTTGTTAAATCTGAAATTTGTGTTGCAGCTCATCCCGGTTATCCCCAACAAACAGGTAGGTCAACCACATCTCTGTCAGTTTACAGCATCTCTCGCACACCCGTACAGACTGTGGGCTTCAATGTAGGATAAATGTATTGTTTACAACAGAACTGTGATGGTTTGAGTATGTTGTGTACCTTGTACAGATTCCAGCGATTTCTTCAAGCTGGATGGTGCTATACCCTGTGTAGTGTATCAGGTTCGGGAGTAGATAGTCAACATGACTCTTAGAAGCACTGTGGGGGTTAATGTCAGCTGTAGATGAAGGGCTGTCACAAGTGTTACGGTTAATAAATTGCCGTGACAAAAGGTTTAAGAATCCCCTGTGAACCAGCAAAATATAACACAGACAAGTCTAAAATATTCAATAATATATTGAGCAAACAATAAGTAAGATACAATAAATCACAATCCAGATTTCTAGTACAATGCAATTGAGTCACAAATCTGAAGTTTTGAGTCACAAGTATAAAATATTAACTCACCAGAGTCTTGGTATTTACAGTGAGAATAGTTATATTAAATGAAGCTTGTTTACAAATGAGAGCAGTAGTCAGACACGCAGTATCAGGGTCAGACGATGGCGATGGTGACGAAGGACGACAACGATAGGCAACTCCAGTGATATCGAAAGTTCTGTGTAATTCTGTGTGTTAGTCCGTGTGTCAGTCCTTGTGTCGCACCACACAACAGCCAGCCTTTATAATATATACTGACACAGATTCTCGAACTTCCCAGCAAAGCATGGCTGTATCATTAACCACTTAGTTCTTTCTTGATATTGCTGGGAGACTCCGCAACATGACGATGTCAACACATAAACATCCGGTCAAGGGAGGTAACTCTGGAGTGCCATCCCAAAAGGCGTGCCGCTAAAAATACTATTGCCATTGAACATATATGACGCGAAATGTGACCAACAAGCAACACCCAAAACTTTAAACATTGTGACTCATAATTATTATCACCTAACCAATGTTATTACAAAACACACACTCGCGTAACACAAGCCTTTGGGGGTTAATGTCAGTTGTAGATGAAGGGCTGTCACAAGCCTGTGGGGGTTAATGTTATTCTTGATCAAGGGCTATCACAAGCCTGTAGGGATTAATGTTAGTTGTAGATCAAGGGCTGTCACAAGCCTGTGTGGTTTAATGTCAGTTGTAGATCAAGGGCTGTCACAAGCCTGTGTGGTTTAATGTTAGTTGTAGATCAAGGGCTGTCACGAGCCTGTGTGGTTTAATGTCAGCTGTAGATCAAGGGCTGTCACAAGCCTGTGCGGGTTAATGTCAGCTGTAGATCAAGGGCTGTCACAAGCCTGTGCGGGTTAATGTCAGCTGTAGATCAAGGGCTGTCACAAGCCTGTGTGGTTTAATGTTAGTTGTAGATCAAGGGCTGTCACAAGCCTGTGTGGGTTAATGTCAGCTGTAGATCAAGGGCTGTCACAAGCCTGTGGGGGTTAATGTCAGCTGTAGATCAAGGGCTGTCACGAGCCTGTGTGGTTTAATGTCAGTTGTAGATGAAGGGCTGTCACAAGCCTGTGTGGTTTAATGACAGTTGTAGAATGAGGGCTGTCACAAGCCTGTGTGGTTTAATGCCAGTTGTAGATCAAGGGCTGTCACAAGCCTGTGTGGTTTAATGCCAGTTGTAGATGAAGGGCTGTCACAAGCCTGTGGGTGTTAAAGTCAGTTGTTAATTAATCTATGGGTGTGGCATTAGTCAGAATTGTGACTAGACGTATTCATAGAAGCACTTATCTTACTGTTGCCTTGACAATATGCTATTATGTACTTATGATAATAAAGAAATAATTGGACAATTACAGGTCAACCCTATGGAGTACCAGGTCGGTTTTAACTGCATGCTCCATCACTAACAGTGGCTGTGTTTAAGTGAATTTTTGCATGTGCCCATTATGTTTTTGTTGGTCTGCACTATAATTTGTTGTAAATTACCTGAAACCTTGTACTTGGATGCTAAGTGTTGACTCCCTTGCATCCAGTGTGCATCCAGCTGCAGTTTTGCTGTAAGCTTTGCTTTGTACTTTCTACTAACACAGTAGTAAGTGGATCCTCTCGTCAGTAGGAGGGTGCCCACGTTAGAACTGTTCTCATCTCGCTTCTAAAACCTGCAACATGATGGAGAGTAACATAGCTGAGTCCTGCGTGGGTGAGTCAGCCTTACAAACCGCCAAGAATGTTGTATTTTAGTACACATTTTGTGATCATGTGATTAGTACAGCTTTGTTTCATTTTTGATGGCAGCAGTATTTGATGTTGTAAATGAAAGTCCTTGAGTCCTTGTCATGACCCCAGTGTTAAATCAAGCCAGATTGCAGTGTTCAACTTCAAGGAGCCCAGCATTTCCCTGAGTGTCTGGCATCCCAGCACACTGTCTGTGTTAACGTATCTGGAAATGTGACCAATCTCACCCCAGCACACTGTCAGTGTGACCAATCTCACCCAGCACACTGTCAGTGTGACCAATCTCACCCCAGCACACTGTCAGTGTTAACGTATCTGGAAATGTGACCAATCTCACCCCAGCACACTGTCAGTGTTAACGTATCTGGAAATGTGACCAATCTCACCCCAGCACACTGTCAGTGTGACCAATCTCACCCCAGCACACTGTCAGTGTGACCAATCTCACCCCAGCACACTGTCAGTGTTAACGTATCTGGAAATGTGACCAATCTCACCCCAGCACACTGTCAGTGTTAACGTATCTGGAAATGTGACCAATCTCACCCCAGCACACTGTCAGTGTTAACGTATCTGGAAATGTGACCAATCTCACCCCAGCACACTGTCAGTGTGACCAATCTCACCCCAGCACACTGTCAGTGTGACTCACCCCAGCACACCGTCAGTGCGTGTACAATCTCACCCCAGCACACTGTCAGTGTTAACGTATCTGGAAATGTGACCAATCTCACCCCAGCACACTGTCAGTGTGACCAATCTCACCCCAGCACACTGTCAGTGTGACCAATCTCACCCCAGCACACTGTCAGTGTTAACGTATCTGGAAATGTGACCAATCTCACCCCAGCACACTGTCAGTGTGACCAATCTCACCCCAGCACACTGTCAGTGTTAATGGATACACATAAAAGGTAAGAAGTTATGGATATCAACTTGTTTGTTATGAGAAACACGCTTTTTCAGAGTATATACTTACTCCTTCATCATTCATCTGATGGAGGAGTAAGAATATACACCGTTACGTCATGTTCCTCAAATAAACATCCATAACTTTTCACCTTTCATGTGTATCCGTTAACACTTACAGATATGTGTGTCCTCATTTAAAACTGAAAATTTGCATGACGGTCCATATTTTGTTACAGAATTTTTTACAGAAAGCAGTAGTGTAGAAGGGCTGTGTAAGTATCAAGAAAATACTTTTGGCGACCTTTGAAGTATGTACGGTTACAACCTCAGAAAATACGTAGTTTTTGTATAGTACCCTCTTTGGTAATATTTTTATAAAGGACATTTATGATGGCAAATATGGTATGAAGGTGTTTATTTTTATCTGCCCATCTGCCAAGTTATGTGTTCAGTGGAATGAATAATGCACTCAACCAGTCTACTGGCTTGTGCTAGTTGACGCCACTGGTACTAAACTGTGCACTTGTCATACAGTGTGGCATGTAATTACTTGTGGCCAACCAATGCCGGTCTCCGTATGAACCAGCTGAACCATGGTTTGAAACAACCACGCAACCATGGTTTACAACTACTGTTTCCACTGAACACATTCTGATAACCTCTTCCTAAGAAATATTACACACAGCGGACAAGACACTTCTACCACTTTACTGTGTGTTTTAGTAAGTGTATTTGGAACCACAACATGTTTCTGTAGCTTTTGTATCAGCTAGATTCACATTCACTCATAACCCACCACTCACCACAGTCCTCAGTATCATGATTCACATCTTTTGACAACCACCAAACTCACAATCATTACTTCCATATCCCTTGATGGTTCATAGCTGAAGGAGTCATGATTCACATCTTATGACAACCACCAAACTCACAATCATTACTTCCATATCCCTTGATGGTTCATAGCTGAAGGAGTCATGATTCACATCTTATGACAACCACCAAACTCACAATCATTACTTCCATTTCCCTTGATGGTTCATAGCTGAAAGAGTCATGACTCACATCTTATGACGTCCCACCAAACTCACAATCATTACTTCCATATCCCTTGATGGTTCATAGCTGAAGGAGTCATGATTCACATCTTATGACAACCATCAAACTCACAATCATTACTTCCATATCCCTTGATGGTTCATAGCTGAAGGAGTCATGATTCACATCTTATGACAACCACCAAACTCACAATCAGTACTTCCATATCCCTTGATGGTTCATAGCTGAAGGAGTCATGATTCACATCTTATGACAACCACCAAACTCACAATCATTACTTCCATATCCCTTGATGGTTCATAGATGAAAGAGTCATGATTCACATCTTATGACAACCACCAAACTCACAATCATAACTTCCATATCCCTTGATGGTTCATAGCTGAAGGAGTCATGATTCACATCTTATGACGCCCCACCAAACTCACAATCAGTACTTCCATATCCCTTGATGGTTCATAGCTGAAGGAGTCATGATTCACATCTTATGACAACCACCAAACTCACAATCATTACTTCCATATCCCTTGATGGTTCATAGCTGAAGGAGTCATGATTCACATCTTATGACAACCACCAAACTCACAATCATTATACTTTATGACAACCACCAAACTCACAATCAGTACTTCCATATCCCTTGATGGTTCATAGCTGAAGGAGTCATGATTCACATCTTATGACGTCCCACCAAACTCACAATCATTACGACCGCCTCCGTGGTGTAGTGGTTAGAGCGTCCGCCTGGAGAGCGGAAGGTCGCAGGTTGATCTCCGACCGCGTCATACCAAAAGACGTTAAAATTTGGTACTTGTTGGTCCCTGCCTGGCGCTTGGCATTAATGGGTACAACAAGGACTGGTCGGCTCGGAGTCAGTATAATGTGTCTGAGTGGGGTATCCATGCTTCACTGCGGCATGGTTTCTCAGTTGTTTGGCACTATAAAACCAGCTTATGTCTGGGCTAGTACAAGCAGCCGCACATACACACACACACGTCTGCACTTCTTCATATGAGCGAAATATTCTCAAGCACGACGTTAAATCCAATTTCACCTCACCTCACCTCACCTCACAATCATTTCTTCCATATCCCTTGATGGTTCATAGCTGAAAGAGTCATGACTCACATCTTATGACAACCATCAAACTCACAATCATTACTTCCATATCCCTTGATGGTTCATAGCTGAAGGAGTCATGATTCACATCTTATAACATCTCACCAATCACCACCGTCCTTCACATACCTTGATGGTTGATTATAGGTAGAGGAATCATGATTCACATCTTCTAAAAGCACTCCAGTAAAATGCCTGCATGGATGAGGCTGTCTCAATGTTTCAGAACTGCTGTATATTACTTGCACTGTCAATTTTCAGGACCTATTCAATTTGTCTATTACATCCAAAACAGGAAATAACTGTTTTGACAGTTGTTGAACTATAATAATCATATTCTAAGTTGTGAATAACTTGTGAATGATATTTCTCCATTAAATGCCATGTTGAGGTAAACAGAGGTGACAGGAGTGATCACAGTGAAACATTAAGGATTGTCTCAACCTGTTTGCTGGTGTTTTGATATGCTGTATAGTTTACATTGTCAGTAGTGTTTCATATATTTGAGTGTTTTTATACTGGTGATGTCTTCTTTCATGTTCAATTTGTACACATTGGTGAAGGATTTCTGAATGTTATGCCAACTTTCTGACTTTGTGATATTGTGTTACCTGTCATGAGGGCACAATTTGACCATGAACTTTTAGGATGTCACCAAGCCTCTTCTGAAGCCACGCGATGTACCATGCCATGTTTAGATTGATGTATTGAACCTATTCTAGAATTGTTACATGTACTCAAGCTTCCAGTAAGAATGATTGTGTCCATACCTCCCTGTTGATACTGATTACAGGATGGGTCAGTCAGATGACCTTCAGATGAAGCTGACAATCTAGAGAGCTGTTTGTACAAGCATCTAATGTGATTTGCATATCATTGTTCAAAATTTTGTTGCCATTTGACAGTATTTTCACTTTTAAATAGAAACAGTCATGCTTGGTTGTGGTGTCTTCAAGATGGTGGTTCAAGACATCCTGAAATAATCTACTCATGTCTGAAATAGTCTCTGCCTTCCTTCCCAAGAGACTTCATGTGCGTGTGTGAGAGTGTATGTGTGTGAACAGATACTTTGAGTGTGTGAGTGTGTGTGCAGGTATGGGCATGCATGTGTGTGCCATTCCATTCAAGGAAATATTTTAGTTAGCTGACCAAAGAACCACGTTACTAATCCTGTGACCTTTGTTTCCAGGCCAGCCGATGTATGGTCAAGGTATTGTTGTCCCAACACTTAACACTAATTCGCCAACACAGACCCTGGCTCCCAAACATTGAGCCTATAGCATGGGGCTTCCACACACACTAATCTGCTTTGAAAATCATTTGCTTGTTTTTGAATAAGTATTTTGGAGAATAATTTACTTGCCATGACAACATCTTAAAGAATGTGTCATTGTGCCTCTACATTTAGTGATATCTTCTTCCATGACTTGTTGAACTGCTGTGGAAACAATGTAAAGACATTTGAGTTCAGCAGGTGCTTGCATGGTGGCGTGTACCCGTGCTATCTGCTCACACGTATAGTTGTCACAAGTCTGCATGTTAGTGGTATTCTAGCAACTTGTGTTTAGATAAATAATACCTTCTGGGGACAGTGAGGGGACACAAGCTAACCTTCTCCAGCACAACCTGTTAGTCCAGAGTCAAGGTCCCCCTTGATTGGTGTCACTAGGAATGGCTTTCTAGATGCATGAATAATGAACTGTTAGCTGTTGAACACAGGGAGCCAGAAGATAATTTAATTTAATTCTTGCCTCCAATCAAAGATAACATGTCTACATGTACAATACATGTTAATGCTAAATCATTTTATTTTTTGTTTATTGGATTGCCAAGATGGAGATTCATACAGAAAAATATGAACTTACTGCACAGTTTTCACCATAGGTTTTTTAGACATTTTGTCGAGCATTAGTTACTTCACATTGGCTGTCATCAATGTCGTCTGGTCATGAGTGAGTGAGTGAATATGGTTTTACGCTTCATTTAGCAATATGTTAACCTGTAGATCTGGTTGGATGAGGAAACATGATATATGAGGGCATACATTTGAAGGCACTCAGACATGCAACATCTTGGTGGAAGAACTTGCATGGTTTGCTGACAGCTGTCAACATGTTTTCGGGTATAGGGCACCTGTCTACTTGCAATATGTGCATTTAATGTCAGTTTGCTTATTATGTATGGCTGGGATTTCTGTTAACTGACATAGGGTCTCTGACCTTATATAGATCATTTAATTGTAAATAGATCATTTGTTTCTCTGCACTGTGGCATGAATGGTATAAATGTTCTCAACCCTGTGATATAGTTGTTCCACTACACTGTGGTATAGTTGTTCCACTACACTGTGGTATAGTTGTTCCACTACACTGTGGTATAGTTGTTCCACTGCATTGTGGTATGAATGTTCCAGTGCACTGTGGTATAATTGTGCCAGTGCTCTATGGTATAAATGTTCTAGTGCACTGTGGTAGAACTGTTCGAGTGCTCTGTGTTAGGACTGTTCCGTGGCATAACTGTTCCAATGCTCTGTGGCATAACTGTGCGAGTGCTCTGTGATAAAGCAGTTTCAGTGCACTGTGGTTTGTTCCACTATACTAAATGCAGCTTGTTGTGCTGAGGACATCCTGCAGCTTTTTCTGTTGAGGACATCCTGCAGCTTTTTCTGTTGAGGACATCCTGCAGCTTTTTCTGTTGAGGATATCCTGCCGCTTGCTTTTTTGAGGACTTCATGCAGCGTCTTGGACATCCTGCATCTAGTTCTGTTGTGGACATCCTGCAGCTTGTTCTGTTAAGGACATCCTGCAGCTTTTTCTGTTGAGGACATCCTGCAGCTTCTCCTGCAGCTTGTTCTGTTGAGGACATCCTGCAGCTTGTTCTGTTGTGGACATCCTGCAGCTTGTTCTGTTGAGGACTTCCTGCAGCTTGTTCTGTTGAGGACATCCTGCTGCTTGTTCTGTTGAGGACTTCATGCAGCTTGTTCTGTTGAGGACATCCTGCAGCTTGTTCTGTTGTGGACTTCCTGCAGTTTGTTCTGTTGAGGACATCCTGCAGCTTGTTCTGTTGTGGACATCCTGCAGCTTGTTGTGTTGTGGACATCCTGCAGCTTGTTCTGTTGTGGACTTCCTGCAGCTTGTTCTGTTGAGGACATCCTGCAGCTTGTTCTGTTGAGGACATCCTGCAGCTTGTTCTGTTGAGGACATCCTGCAGCTTGTTCTGGTGTGGACCTCCTGCATCTTGTTGTGCTGAGGACTTCCTATCCTATAGCCTGTTCTGTTGAGGACATCCTGCAGCTTTTTCTTTTGAGGACTTCCTGTAGCTTGTTCTGTTGAGGACATCCTGCAATTGTTCTTTTGAGGACATCCTGCAGCTTGTACTGTTGTTGACCTCCTGCATCTTGTTGTGTTGAGGACATTCTGCAGCTTGTTCTGTTGTGGACTTCCTGTAGCTTGTTCTTTTTAGGACATCCTGCAGCTTGTTCTGTTGTGGATCACCTGCAGCTTGTTGTGTTGAGGACTTCCTGCAGCTTTTTCTGTTGTGGACATCCTGCAGCTTGTTCTGGTGTGGACTTCCTGTAGTTTGTTCAGTTGTAGACCTCCTGCAGGATGTACTGTTGAGGGCATCCTGCAGTTTTTTTCTGTTGGGGACATCCTGCAGCTTGTTCTGTTGAGGACTTCCTGCAGATTGTTCTGTTGAGGACATCCTGCAATTGTTCTGTTGAGGACTTGCTGCAGCTTATTCTGGTGTGGACCTCCTGCAGCTTGTTGTGTTGAAGACATCCTATCTTATAGCCTGTTCTGTTGAGGACATCTTGCAGCTTGTTCTGTTGTGGACTTGCTGCAGCTTATTCTGGTGTGGACCTCCTGCATCTTGTTGTGTTGAAGACTTCCTATCCTATAGCCTGTTCTGTTGAGGACATCTTGCAGCTTTTTTCTATTGAGGACTTCCTGTAGCTTGTTCTTTTGAGGACATACTGCAGCTTGTTGTGCTGAGAACATCCTGCAGCTTGTTCTGTAGAGGACATCCTGCAGATTGTTCTGTAGAGGACATCCTGCAGCTTGTTCTGTAGAGGACGTCCTGCAGCTTGTTCTGTTGTGGAACTCATGCAGCTTCTTGTCTTGAAGACATCCGGCAGCTTGTTTTGTCGAGGACTTCCTGTAGCCTGTTCTGTTGAGGACATCCTGCAGCTTGTTCTGTTGAGGACATCCTGCAGCTTGTACTGTTGTGGACATCCTGCAGCTTGTTCTGTTGAGGACATCCTGCAGCTTGTTCTGTTGAAGACATCCTGCAGCTTGTTGTGTTGAGGACATCCTGCAGCTTGTTCTGTTGAAGGACATCCTGCAGCTTGTTCTGTGTGGACTTGCTGCAGCTTGTTCTGGTGTATACATCCTGCAGCTTGTTCTGTTGTAGAGATCCTGCAGCTTGTACTGTTGAGGACATCCTGCAGCTTGTTCTGTTGAGGATCTCCTGCAGCTTGTTTGTGTTTTGGACCTCCCTGCATACTGTTCTTTTGAGGACATCCTGCAGCTTTTTCTGTTGGGGACATCCTGCAGCTTGTTCTGTTGAGGACATCCTGCAGCTTATTCTGGTGTGGACTTGCTGCAGCTTGTTCTGGTGTAGACCTCCTGTAGTTTGTTCTGTTGAGGACATCCTGCAGGTTGTACTGTTGTGGACATCCTGCAGCTTGTTCTGTTGAGGACATCCTGCAGCTTGTTCTGTTGTGGACATCCTGCAGCTTGTTCTGTTGTGGACTTCCTGTAGCTTTGTTGAGGACATCCTGCAGCTTGTTCTGTTGAGGGCTTGTTCTGTTGAGGACATCCTGCAGCTTGTTCTGTTGTGGACATCCTGCAGCTTGTTCTGTTGAGGACATCCTGCAGCTTGTTCTGTTGAGGACATCCTGCAGCTTGTTCTGTTGTGGACTTGCTGCAGCTTGTTCTGTTGTGGACCTCCTGCATCTTGTTGTGTTGAGGACTTCCTATCCTATAGCCTGTTCTGTTGAGGACATCCTGCAGCTTTTTCTATTGAGGACTTCCTGTAGCTTGTTCTGTTGAGGACATCCTGCAGCTTGTTCTGTTGAGGACATCCTGCAGCTTGTACTGTTGTGGACCTCCTGCATCTTGTTGTGTTGAGGACATCCTGCAGCTTGTTCTGTTGAGGACATCCTGCAGCTTGTTCTGTTGTGGACATCCTGCAGCTTGTTCTGTTGTGGACATCCTGCAGCTTGTTCTGTTGAGGACTTCCTGCAGCTTGTTCTGTTGAGGACATCCTGCAGCTTGTTCTGTTGAGGACATCCTGCAGCTTGTTCTGTTGTGGACTTCCTGCAGCTTGTTCTGTTGAGGACATCCTGCAGATTGTTCTGTTGAGGACATCCTGCAGCTTGTTCTGTTGTGGACCTCCTGCAGCTTGTTCTGTTGAGGACATCCTGCAGCTTGTTCTGTTGAGGACTTCCTATCCTATACCCTGTTCTGTTGAGGACATCCTGCAGCTTGTTCTGTTGAGGATCACCTGCAGCTTGTTGTGTTGAGGACTTCCTGCAGATTGTTCTGTTGAGGACATCCTGCAGCTTGTTCTGGTGTGGACTTGCTGCAGCTTGTTCTGGTGTAGGACCTCCTGTAGTTTGTTCTGTTGTAGAGATCCTGCAGCTTGTACTGTTGAGGACATCCTGCAGCTTGTACTGTTGTGGATCTCCTGCATCTTGTTGTGTTTTTGGACCTCCTGCATACTGTTGTTTTGAGGATTTCCTATAGCTTTTTCTGTTGGGGACATCCTGCAGCTTGTTCTGTTGTGGATATCCTGCAGCTTGTTGTTGTGTTGACTTCCAGCTGCAGAGCTTGTTCTTCTGAGGAAATCCTTCAGCTTGTTCTGGTGTGGACTTCCTGTAGCTTGTTCAGTTGTAGACCTCCTGCAGGGTTGTACTGTTGTTGACCTCCTGCTGCTTGTGTTGTGTTGAGGACATCCTGCAGCTTGTTCTGTTGTGGACTTCCTGTAGCTTGTTCTGTTGAGGACATCCTGCAGATTGTTCTGTTGTGGATCACCTGCAGCTTGTTGTGTTGAGGACTTCCTGCAGATTGTTCTGTTGAGGACATCCTGCTGCTTGTTCTGGTGTTGACTTGCTGCAGCTTGTTCTGGTGTAGACCTCCTGTAGTTTGTTCTGTTGTAGAGCTCCTGCAGGTTGTACTGTTGAGGACATCTTGCAGCTTGTTCTGTTGA